AAACTCCAGTTTTGACTTGACGAAGAGAGGCTGCATAACGGAATAAGCTTTTAGAATTAGAGGCAAGTTTGTCCATAAGGTTTGTCTGGTACTGGAGCCTGTCTTCTCTTATAGCTTTCGTGCATATGTTCCTGATATGTTTATATTACCTGTACGCTCCGTTGTTGTCAGTTCGTTTGTATTCCGCCCAACAGTGCCTTTTGCGGCTTAGCAGGCGAAGGGTACGGTTCTTGATTATTGTAGGTGTCTTGCAGCTTTTGGAAACCGTTTGAGGAACTGAATGGTTTGTAGCGTGTAAGAGCGTGTGCAGTATGAAGTCCCAATGCCCGTCCACGTCGAGTTGGGGATGAACATCCCAAACCACCTGTTGTAGATAGTCGTGTAGAGCTGGCTAATTCAACCGTTTAAAATTCCAGCGCGAGATATTGGTGGGGTATCTTAGCTTAGTTTTGGTGACAAAACTGAAGGCTATAACGGCATGATCACTTTTTCCCAGGGGAGCCAAGATTGAGAGGTTGTCAACTAGAAATTATTCGTTTGTGAATACACAGTCTAAGCGCGGTGGCGTCTGACTGTTTCTCCAACGAGTTGCCGACCTCACATTTTTGTACAATCTCAAGTCATCGATAAGGTTGAAGAACTGAGCTTCAGTTGAGTTGTCGCCTCCAGTATACGTGTGTTCCGCAAAGTTTACTCTAGGGAGATTAAAGTCCCCTACAATCAGGATGTGTGTGAAACCGAGACGAGTAGAGTGGGATAGTCCTTCCAGCATACGAATATCGTACTTGATGTCGGCAGTTGGATTCCTGTAAATGACTCCGACTAGACACCTCGAAGTACTTGACAATCTTACAGAGCACCATATAGATTCCTCAAGATTGTTAAACTCGAGGTTATGAACTTGATGCACCTCCAAGCAAGAACGTATGTAAACAGCTACTCCGCCCCCCACATCCCAGGTAATGCTAACTCATGGTCCGAGAATTGAGAAGATATCCAGGTTTCAGATATTCTTGTCAGATGGGCCTTGTTAGCATTGCTAAATTCATGTAGTTCATCCAATTTGTTTGATAGACTCGCGGTGTTCATATATAAGCACTTTATGCTTTCAATTTGTAACGCATGAGCTTCTTCCTGTTTGTTTGTATGAGCCTTATGTGAATGGACAGGTAGCCCACCTATATGAGGTTTACCGAGGTGGTAGGCCCTGTCCTATACACGTTTTTTTTCTTCTAGACAGTTCACAAGTGGAATGGTCAGCTCCAACTTGCCTTTGTGTTTGGTCCTAACTTCGTATGGCCTATCCGGGTGCATGTGAATTCCAGGTGGCAATCGACGTCTGTTGGCACGAAATGCTTCCAGAGTTGTGGCCACCATGTGTGAATATGTGAAGGTTATCTTCATTAGACGAGGTCTAGAATCACCATCCTTCTTGGCTAGTCTCGTCACATGCTGAGTCAGTATGTTTTTGAGCCTCAAGGACTGCTTGATAAATTTCCATTCCGTGATGTCAGAGTTTGATTGAGTAGGGTCCGTATTTTCCGGTATACCTTGCACGATTATATTCCTCCCGCGGAAAAACTAATCGCGAGTTTCTTTGGGGATGTTCCGGATGAGATTGCGCTCAGAATACGGTATGTCAGTTAGTATTCTTACATTCCCATCTGACTTCAGTAAATGACTCGCTAGTAGGACATCCTCCACGTTGGTAGCATTCTTAACTGTTACACAAAGTAGCCTCAGGTGATTTTGATGCTTAGATTACTTTCTCCGAGTGAGCCGTGTGACTGTCAAAGGCTCTATTCTTGGAAGTCCAAGTTTCTTGTTCAATTCTCCCCAGAGCATCCTATCATTTTTGTCCTGCAAACTGAGAGGAAGGTCAGGGTTGTTTTCGAAGTTCATGACTATGAGAGAGTTGTCACGAACCGTTATTGTCGTCCCAGGTTTTTCGCTGCGTTCAGGTTTAGCACCTTGTTGTTCGGGGGTCGAAGCACGTTTATGAATCCTTGGCACTTTGATGACCAGACGGACAATCTTGGGGGTAAACTGTGCGACCAGATCACCAGTTGACTTCCGTTTAACAGCTGGGATGTTCAACTTAGACTGTGACGCCTGGCCATTTTTAGCTCTTTTGACATGGGTCCAATCCCCTACAGAGTTTTTGGAAACCACTGTCGCGTTCAATGACCTTGAGCTGTGAGACCCGAGTTTGCTGAGGGAGTACCGTCGAGTACCGTCGTCGTAATCATGGTGCTGAGTTTCAGTGTGTCATCATTAATGCTGTTGCTTGCTCCGTCGTTGGTAGACCTGTCAACATCCCTGTTCTCGTTTTCAATGCGCTCTCCTGTTTTTCTACCTATTTTTTGACTGTCTTTTTCCAAGTTTGTCGACAACTTGCTCTGCAGACCTGTCACTAGGACAATGATATTACTCAGCAAGACTGCAGCATCCGTGCTGCACGTAACACATTCCCACTTATGATCCGATTTGCTGAGTCTGTTATAAGCAGTTGCTGTGAGATCTGTGCACGCTTCGTGGAATCAACCTTTTCAGTTGTCGCACTGCATGCCAGATGTAGCAGCAAAACGGCACCCAGGTCGTTTGCATGAATTTTTCATGACTGTATTGACGTAAACTGTGTTGTAGATGCTAGCAAAAGCCTAAAACCGTAAAAAATACACTAAAAAGCACACTGAAAACGAACAAAAATGGATAAAACGGATGAGATAAACTGAACTAGTCTTAAGGTGAAAAACTGGAAAAAACCGAATAGTAAGCTGAGGCAAAACCACAGTTAACTATTAAATGGAGTGAAACTCAAAAAAATAATCTACCGAACGTATAGCTCAGGATAGATTCTTTTGGTCAGAAATGGTACTTTTGTTGCGTAAGAGCACAGCAAAAGTTTGATAAATGCAAATGACGTTAGGACTATACTTCCTGTTCGAAAAGTGCACGAGATAATCAAAGATCTTGGATTGTTTTATGACTTAACACCAGTCTTATGTACGCCGTGATTTCTATTTCCCGTTGGATTGTTGAGAGGGTAGACTGATTTCGTAACATGCTAAATAGCATAAACGAATACTACGTCCACATACAAAAAATAAAATATTCGAAGAGGTAGGGGTCAAAAACCACTAAGGTTTAACATTATTTTTAAATCGTTTTTGCGTCCTTTTTGAAGAGGAGTGCTAAAGCGAAGATTTAAGTAAACGGGTTTTGCCTTGTAGCGGTAAATAAATACCCAAAATAAATAGCTCTGTAAGTTTTCGGCATTGAATGCTGACAAGATTAGTTTTAGTGGGCTTACCTAGCTGAAGGTGCTAGATCATGCATCCGCACCAGATCAAGTGTGGGAACGCCGTGCTCAACTGCTATTGCAATCGCTAGCCATATTAGATCAGATAATTCCGATATATTGGCAATCGTCGAATACAATTTCTGATCTCCTCGATTCTGTTTTTTGATTTCTTTTGGTGGGTTTGAGTTATATAAGAAGGTGTTACTGGTAAAAGCGTTGTCAAACACTGAATACCTGTGCTGTTTTCAGCCTTTTCCTTAACTCTCTCCCTCTCTCAGACACACATTCACACCAAATAAGAGACATTTTCAATACCGAATGTGTTTGTATGTATGTGGCGACGTATTATGGTTAAGATAAGACTCTAGGGGTGTCAAGCTGAATAACAGATTGTGCTTACCTGATTGTTTTGATAATGTGTGTGTAATCCTCACCGTTTCTTAATGACTCCATGGTCGCGACCGACAAACAGTCTAGTGTCACATAATATGGCTCTGTAGAATTAGGGTCTACTTCGTCATTAGCACTGCTCTAATAATGGATCTAATCCTAAAATTGTAAATTTTTCATGATGTGACTACCTGATCTATAAGATCTTACATCTTTGTCTAAACTAAGTAATCGTATCGTAACAATTAACAACATGTCTGAAGTTTCTAAAGAACACCTTCAGACCAGAGATAGAGTAATATATTTATTGCAAGACAAGTTATGCAGAATGACCACGTCTGCGGGGCTGAACCATGCCATCCAGTTGAATCTTGAGTGAATTCTTACCTCCTCGATTGTTGACCTACTCTTCGTGTTAATTGTCGAACATGCATTTTCCCAGTTATCTTATGTTCGGCTTTGAGAATTGTGTTGTTAGAACTAATACTACATAAATGCAGCTACCGGTGACTATTGTGACTGATGTGTTCGGCACCAGCATCAAGCAATTATATCGTCACTTAGAGCGGTAAATAAATTTCAAGATAAATAGTTGTGTAAGTGTTCAGCATTGATGCTGACCTCATAAGTCTCATTGGACTCACCCTAGCTGGCAGCGCTCGGTCACGTGTCCGCACCACATCACAAGTGGGTACACCGAGTTATGCATGCCTCGCAGCTACTAGTCAGCTGAGATCAAACGTTCCATGACATATCGATAACTTTTCGAATACTTCTTCCCACTTTTTCATTACTGACTTGTGATTTTACTGGGTCGGTATTCTTCGATTATTTGAGTATTATGCTTAAAGGCGTTGTCAAACTCTGAATATCTTTGGTATTTTGACGCTGATCTTGAAGGGCTGCCTATTATTAAGAATGAATATTCGGATAACGACCAACGCTGTAATTTCTAAGTGGGAGCTGAAGAATATTATATTCGAGTCGTAAATTTTTTACACAACATAATCTGTAAGAAATGGTTTTTTGTCTGTTGAAGAATGCTATATAGAAACGATCAACACATGACTGAAAATTGGAAGAGGCAGATGTTTTTCGGATAACGTCAATTTCTCCCTGAAATTCTGAGCCTCGCTCATAGCGTCAAGGATGAAATAATCAAACACTTTGTCAATTTTAACACTACTCATTAAAACATTCTGAATATTTTTGACAAGACTCCATCAATACTTTGAAAATGTAATGATGTTATTTAATTTCCCCTTAGTAAATTGTTCTTTCGAATTTTATGAAGTCGTATTCGTTGGCGGTCTTTCGTTTGCCGCGGTTCGGTCTTACTTCGGGCCAGCGGAAGTGACATGACAATAACCTGCTTGGAGAGGGATGGTGTCGTTGCTGATCTCCGTTTAGCGGATTCCTTTTATTTGAAATATGAAGTTCGGGATGTCCTGGGTTCTGGAGCCAGTAGTACTGTACGACGTTGCATAGAAAAAGACTCTAAAGCCGAATTCGCTGTTAAAATTTTGGATCTTAATAGTGGTGTCGACAGCTCAGAAGTTATACGTTCAGAATGTATGCGAGAGGTGACAATTCTTAGAAAAGTAGTCGACCACCCCAATATCATAAGAATTCATGATGTTTTCGAGGGGGATGCGTACATATTTCTGGTCTCAGAAATGTAAGTTTCAGCTTTCACTTTCATGTCTTTAGTTGTCAAGGTGGTGAACTTTTCGACTATCTTACCCACAACGTCATTATTTCCGAAAAACGTACTCGTGCAATCATGCGGCAGCTGTTTGATGCTGTTAATTTCATCCATGACCGTCAAATCGTCCATCGAGATCTCAAGCCGGAAAACATTCTTCTTGATGAAAATCTTAACATAAAAGTTACGGACTTCGGGTTGGCTGTATTTGTTGACGATGAAGAAGAGCTTAAAGGTACTTTTTACCGCTTTGAAAGTTGCTATTGAGTCAAGACTACAAAATTTTCTTAGAGTTGTTAACTTCTGGCCTTAATGATTATATTCGTGTACACTTAAGGGATATATATATATATATATATTCAACAAATCTAGTTTGCAAATCTTACTACTTTCTGCTAACCGTCATGTAATCTAGATAAAAGTACCTCATACTCTCAAAATAACTGGTTCAGTCTACTGTAGTTAATCCTTATTCCATTGCGTTAAACAACCAGCCTTCATAGGTTCATTTCAACACTACGCCTCACCTACTTAAGTTTAGGCAGTCTCATAGTGTTAACCCTTAACTAGAAAAATAAATTCATGTTATTTTACTCAAGGTTTTTATGTTTGTCCACCATTGACGTGTATATTTGTTTGTTAAATGCAGTTGTTTGTCGTTTTAGCAGTGCTTCGGTACAGTTTGAGCCAATGTACATATTTGCGAGGTTCTACTTTGGATTTGACTGACTGACAATACAATCTTATCGAAGCAAGTCGTTTTGCCGTTCTCTATCATTCTATACAAGACAGGACTGCAGAAAGCTATCTTATTTCCCTCTTGGATTTCGATCGAGCATATGCTCAAATACTCTCTATCTCACAACATTCAAGGTAGACATTTGTTAGATCATTTGGGATACCGAGAATTTCTCGACCTAGTTTAAAACTAGCTGGCACTCGTTAGAATGCTAACTCAAAGTTCCAAACAAACTGATGTCTTTTGTACGATTCAAACTCAGCACCAAGTCTGAGTGATTTCTCAACTAACCTAAACTCGACATAATCCTTATCAATTCCTTAAGGTTGACCGATTTATTAACAGTATCATCTGAATAACTCAGCGGTAACGTCTTGGGCTCGGTTTAAACCGGTCAGTCAGTCATGCGTAACGTAAAACATGTTACATATCCACCCATCAGGTTTCTATACCTTATTGACTGAACGCGGATTTCCGGTTTCACACTTCATAGGTGAATAGCATTGTGACCGAAAAGTCATAAGTTTGGTTCCATATAAGGCCGTTAAAACAGACAGTGGAAGAGACTCAAATTACTACGAGACAACTGCTTTTCATTCTGGTTTTCGACAGTCCTGTAGCTAACGTCGGTACCTGAAGAAATCAGTTTATTTGAAATCTACACAAAACTATCTAAATTAGTTTTAAAGAAATAAATCGTTCTGTAACCAACAATCTGATTAAAAGTATTGTAAATTTGAGGTACGCTTCGAGTGTTACAAAGCTCATCCAATTGTTCACTCATTGGTAGATATCTTTACCGCCTAAGTGTTTACATCATTTTTATTGCCAACATTTGAAGCTCCTGATTGAAAACTCGTTGAACGTACATATATCACTAATTAAGCAGTTTCCAATACCAATTAATTCTTTCACTTAGGTCTCTCTTTTTAGTATTTGGTTTTACAGACTTGAACCACAGAAAATGTTTGCAGATATACATCTATCAGTTAGCTAGGTCAAATAACAAGCAATATTTTCCACCTTGTCCTCTCTTCATTTTAATCTGCTTATACGTTTCCTAAATAATTTTCCGAACAGTAGATCTTTGTCGTTAACTTGCCTAATTCTCGGTCTAGTTCAATAAAATTCGAATGCACTGTCAAAATCGATTGTTTATCTGGATTTTATGGTTGTATGGTTACGAAATCCTAAGTGCTTCTCGTTGGCAATACGCCGTCACCGTTTAATTTTAAATACATTTTTACCTATTAGAAACTCGTGGAACACCAGGTTACTTGGCGCCAGAGGTCCTGATGTGTGGTTACTATGAAGATCAACCTCCTTATGGTCAACCTGTAGACATTTGGGCATGTGGTGTGATTATGTATACTCTGTTAGCAGGTTGTCCCCCTTTTTGGAATCGTAAAGAACATTTGATGCTGCGCCAGATTATGGAAGGCCGTTTCTCTTTTCCTAGTCCAGAATGGGATGATATCAGCGAATCTGCAAAGGATCTAGTGAGTTGCTCTATAAATGTCTGCTTCCTTTATTTTTTATGTACAAACATCATACTCACTGAAGATATCGTAAATGGCCTGGTTAGTGGAGTACAAGTTATTGGAATGCAATTTAGTATTGTGCTTAATACATTTTCATTAGTTTTGTACGTGAGTTAAGTTTGCTTTAGCTCATTCTTGTGAGTACAAATATATGTTACCTCCAATTTGTAGCCTTATTAGAAAAAACTACATTAAAATCCTATATATTTTACACAAAAGTGGCATTGTTTTTCCAATGTTAAGTCCACTGTTTAAAATATTTCGTTGAATTCGAACATTGTGTCTTTTAATAGATGCACATAGTTAGTCAGAAAACACAGAGTTTTTAAGCAATAAACTGCATGTTGAAGTCTCGTTTTATCTGCTGTATCTTGAGCAACCGCGTTGTTTACTAACTTGAATAATAAGTCAAGTGGTTTCTTGATGATTTCGTATAATTTGAGAGTCATTTTCATCACGAACTCAATTCAAATAGTAAACCATTGAAAACCAAGAAATAATAAATGGAGCTACTGCTTAAAACTCTAAATAATGCACATACCGTTACACGCGTATCTATCTGCCTCGTTCCTCAATACAGTTCTGACTGCAGTATAATGTTGTGAGAAATCTACGGGCGGCCAAATGAAAGTGTGGCACCAGTCCAGGAGGTCATTGCCTGTTGGTCTTAGGTGTATTGGTAAGTGCAGACTGATTGTCTGTGGTCTATTTATTATTTATTTTAACACAGATATTGGTACAAGGAGGCACCAAATACATATGCGCCACACAAATCTCATTCGATATGTGAGGGCTGTGATACTGCCCGGGTGCCCAAACCGAAACAGGTGGTTTTCTTAGGGGACCACTCCCCGAGCCTTCGACTTGAAGGTCTGATCCACAAGGCAATGGAGCATCGTAAGGAGATGCAGTTCCATGGAAGCCGGTGACCAATAATTGATTCATACGTCTTTTGTTCCCTCAGGATACTCGAGCCCATGTGCACCATTGTTTTGGAATCCGGTTAAAGCGCCGGAAATTCGCTTTTCGTCCTCTCATTTTCGTAAACAACAGTATTGCCACGAGAAGGCAGTGGGTAAGACTTCCCTGGCAGAGGCTATATACGCGTGGCCATGTGAGAGCATTTCGAGAGGGAGAGTGGACTCTCTCCACTTTCGGCCGTACCAGGGCATTTGGGGGCACAGTTATACAATATACCATTGTGGGCCAGGGTGATTTTACATTGGTTTTCAGGAGAACCAGACACCATCCAGACTTTCACGTAAAAACTCAAACAGTACAGCTTAACCCCGTTTAGCAAGGGAACCAGACACCGTACAGGCTTTAACGCTACAATCTGAATAGTACAGCTCAATCCTGTGACGCAGCCGCACAGGTACGAGGCACCCTGGTGGACCAGTCTGTGGTCTCTTCGATGATCATGATCAGTGGTTGAAGACATTGGGTCAAATGTCTTGAAAGCAGTTGCAATTTCACAAACTTATTGATTCTTTATCTCTCGAGTTTCAATATCAATTCATATATATATTTATTTATTTCTTGATAAACCATAATCTTGTTCTTTCCTTATTATCATTAACACTTCTGTTATTTCATCTTTCCTGTTCATTCCGTTAGTTTAATCCCACTACCCTTATGTTGTGTAAAGTGTTGAACCGACAAACGTTTAGGTCAAATTCTTCATTGTTTATGATTGACTGTTACAACCTTGATCTCACTAGGCTGAACATAAATTCAAACATCTAACCTAATAATTGAGTGTCTGAGCTATTATTTTTTATTGAAGAAATCTTAAATATTAGAAGTATATACATGTAATAAAGAACATTCCACTATCCTCTTTATAAGTATACTTAACACTATACATAATGTTTACTGTTGACATTTTTGATTAACACTACTTACTTTCATTTTTATATATTTTTCCGTATTTATTATTTTTACAAATAGATATGTAAAATTCTAGTTGTGGATTCCAGCGTAAGGTTGACAGCTTTAGATTCATTGAATCATGCATTCTTCCTACAACAAGTATGTTCATTTAGCATTTTGGTTTTTAAATTTTTAGTATATATATCATTCGAATATTTAACATTAATAATTTGCTGCGTAATTATTTCATGAACAGAAATTTGTTAACACTTGGATTTTATGATTGTTAATTCCTTTTAGAATGATATGTATGGGCCGTCAACATTTAGTCTTAAGTTCCTCCCATATATTGTTTGCATGTAGTTGGATCACTTAAGTAGTAACGCTGAGATCAAGCATAAGTCAATTAGTAAAACCGTAAACCCTTATCGACAGAAGTGATTGAAATATGTATGGGACATTTATCCGCTACAAACCTTGCACTAGTAAAAGTAAGAATTTGGTGGTTATTCTATCCGATACTCATTTTAAAATATTAAGACTCGATCCTATGCCTTTTATATTTTGCAACAAAGTTGAATCTTCTCAATGGTTGTCACTAAAATTGTCGTCGGTCAAGCACTTATATAAAATCTTATAAGTGTTGAATAGTGGTTTCATGCTCATTTTCAACTTACAAGTAGTATGCACTTCCAAACTTTAAAAAGCATTTCAACTAATATTCGTCATTTGTAAGTCATTCTAATGATCAGCTTAAAAGTCTAATATATATATGTATATGTAGAAATCACCCCAAAATTAACCAATCCCTAAACGAAAATTTCCGATCAAACTTTAAAGGTGATCATTAAGATTATTTCATACTTAAACTCGTTTCGATATTTACAGTTACAATTCATATCTACTGTTTTTTGCTTTTTCCTCGTTTATCTTTTTGAAACTTTTTAATGCAGCTGCTGGCTTAGTGATTAGAGTGTTCACGGACTAAAACTGCGTTCCACCTAGTTCAGTTTACACAACCGAGTATTATGACTAACTCTCACACCTGGAGTATAGCTCAAGGCCAAATATACGAGCTTGTACCTTGTAAATAAGTTATTAATAATGAAGAAAGTCCCTTCAAAAATATATTAGGCAAACAACTGTTTCTATATTTTAATTGCATGCATATTTACTTAAGAAAATTGTATCCGAAGCATATACTAGTAATTTTCTCATTTATTTTATATTTGTTTCAGCCTATAGTTGGAAAGACAGCCTTCAATGCTAGACAGAAATTTAAGGTGAGACTTGAGAATAAGTGTTTATTATCTTATTTTGCCTTATGCAAACAAATTACGATTGTATGTCAGACTTCAGTCAGGAAAAGTTCACGTCCCTGATACACCTCGGTTAATGATTTCGTAGATTGGTTTTGTATTTAAGTCTGGCCACTTCCGGTTCTTTTTCCAGTTCACTTCTATATTAGCCAGGCTTTGATTGTACTGTAGATGGTGATTAGGATACATCTAACGTGTTTCAGTCGTCTCAGTTAAGGAAGATCTTTAGTCTTATCAGTCGATTTATCATTTTTGTTTAAAACTACTTTTAAATTTAACAAAATTTATTTGGCGGTTTTGTCATCCTCAAGGGGATGATTCGACGATTCCTGTAGTCAAATATTTTCAAAATACACCGACTTTTTACAGCCGTAAACTTACAGAGAAAAAATCTGCTATCTAGTATATTCAATTTCCGATCAACTGAGAAACATGATCTATACTACAGGTGGTGTAGGTTTGTGTAGTAACATTAGTATTACTAATTTCCAGGTAGATTTGCACGTATTCGAGTTTAAGTCTTGCTTTAGGCTTCGAGGGCCAGTAATACTATCTAGTTATCGAAACCTAAGTATGTAGAGTGGAGTGAAATGGAGTTCGAACCTTAGAACAACCGATTCAAAGTTTAGTGTTTTACTCACCATAGTACTGAGATTTCAACTAACTAGCCTACAAGGGTTAGTGAAACCTCAGCTTTTAATCAAATTGGGTTCATTTTCCGATAATGTATTGAGTTTCTGATAATATATAGTATGCAACTAAGCCATTCAGCACTGTCTTGATTTAAATATGTAAATAGTCATGACGATTTTGTTTTCGAGACCATTTATTATTCTACAGTGAGTAATTTATCCCTTAGCGTTTTTTTGTATTTTAGTATTTACTAAAATTCCGTATCAGTCAAATTTATTTATATGTGACTGAGGAGAATACAATGAAAAATACATATAGATCCATTGCACTCAACAATTTATTTATTTGAACACAAAGATTGGTACAAGGGAGCACCAAATACATATGCGCCAAACAATAACAATGAGGCCAGTAGCAGTTATCATTGATTTGTGTCAGGACTGTGATCCTGTCCGAGTTCCCAGACCGAAGCAGGTAGTTTTTCGGGAAGCTACACCCGGAGCTTTCGACCTGAAGGTCTAATCCACAAGGCGGTGAAGCAACGTCAGGAGATGCAGTCTCATGGTAGCCGGCGACCAACAGTAGGTTCATACGCCTATTATTCCTTCAGAATCCTGGAACCCATGTGTACCATTAGTCTGGAATCAGGGTTTACCAACTTCTCTAGGTGGACTCTCCGTGTTCGCCAACCCGGTTAAAGCGCCGGACATTGGCTTTTCATCCTCTCGATTTCGTAAATAACAGTAATGCCACGAGAAGGCAGTGAATAGGACTTCACTTTCAGTGGCTGTATACGTGTGACCATTTGGAGCATTCGAAGAGGGAGAACTAACTCTCCCTAACCTCGGCCCTCAAATGTCCTGGTATGGCCGAGAATGGGGTGGGCCCCCCTCCCTCTCGAAATGCTCTCACATGGCCACGTGTATACAGCCTCTGCCAGGGAAGTCATACTCACTGCCTTCTCGTGGCAATACTGTTGTTTACGAAAATGAGAGGACGAAAAGCGAATTTCCGGCGCTTTAACCGAATCCCAAATCAATGGTGCACGTGGGCTCCAGTATCCTGTGGGAACAAATGGCGTATGAACCAATCGCTGGTCACCGGCTACCATGGGACTGCATCTCCTTACGATGCTCCACTGCCTTGTGGATCAGACCTTTAGATCGAAGGCTCGGGTTGTGGCCCCCTAAGAAAACCACCTGTTTCGGTTCGAGCACCCGGGCAGTATCACAACCCACACACACAAATATGGTGTGGCACATATACATTTGGTGCCTCAATGTACCATTATTTATGTGTTGAAATAAATAAATAAAACCTCTGCTGTACCAGGGCATTTGGGGGCCATTCAACAAACTTTGTTTTTTTCTATCCTGATACTCCGAAATTTTTCCAATGTAATTACTACAATCTCTAAATCGTTTTGATTAATTAATTCAGGATAATAAATGATCACTAAACTGTTATCTCTTTTTCCTTTAACCAACTATATAGACTGGTATGTTGGCTGTCAGTTTTATATTTTATCTACGCCGTTTAAAAGTGGATGCAGCCTATTTAAATATCAATCAGTTATCTATGGATCCATATTCAAATAAGAAATTGCGTAAAATTATTGATACACTTGCCTATGATGTTTATAGTCAATGGGTTAAAAAAGGTGAAGAACAAAATCGTGCTGAATTATTTGAAAATGTACCACGTCGTGATATGATTGATACACCAGAAGCAATATTTCACAATAGTCCAAAGCGTTCAGTGTTAGCCGGTGACTCCGTGAATTATACACCTTTTAATTTTGAAGATGAAGATGATGAAGATATCAGGATACCGATTAGAATTGATTATTAATAAACCCTTTATTACAGTCTGTAGTCTAAATTTAGCCCCCGCCCTACCTCCTCTTTCTCTCAATATATATATATATATATATATATATATATATATATATATATATATATATATATATAACTCGGTGCAATAAAACAAGTAGGCCCTACATGTCTTAACAACGAAAACATCATGTACGCAAAACCTACCACTTATTCAGAACTAAACTTCCTTGGAGTATTTTCTTTTCATTTATTTTATAATGTATAAAAGAATTTATTTTTATTCTATCCTTTTCTCTCTCATTTTCATGTCTTCATTCTAGTTTTATTGTGTTATTTTGCATCATTTGGTTAGTCAAGTTTTAATAATCCTAGTTTATTACTTATTTCATTGGAACCCTCCGTTTGTTTGTGGTTGTTTTTTTTTATTAAAAAGAAGAAATCACTCATTTTGTCATTTTTCAACTTATTAATAACTTTATTATTTCTTTAAAACAATTAGTCCCTTTTTATAAATTTTGATAGAGCACAATAAAAAACTGGAGTTGATCTGAATGATATGATGTGTTTACACCATACATTTCGAACAATCTGACCAATATATATTTTCATAAGGGGTTTTGTGGAGATTTTAGTAATTTAAATAATTGAAATCATGAGTCAATTGAAGCTAGATCATCATGAAAAACCTGAAAGAACTGGATGGCCGTTTCACCCTAATGTGGGGCTCCTCAGCAGTGCGCATCCACGACCCCGCCCTCTGCGACGTTCGAACTCAAGACTTATCAGTCTCACGCGCGAGCTGGCCGGCATCCAACGGTGTCAGTTTCTAACTTCAACCAATCCACGAGATTGCTTCACCGTACAACATTGTCTTCAGTAAGCTGATATCTCTCAACAGACCTGGTTGAACTCCACTGGCCACTGCTTCTCACTAGAACCCCAGGAAAATGCCCCTTGAAGTCTCACTAGTGAGCAGGCGCCTATTATCAGAGGGGGTTTTGTGGAGATTTTAGTAACTTCAATAGTTAAAATCATGAGTCAATTGGTTGAATTTAAACATTAACACCCTTGGATGCCGGTCAGCTCAGTGGTTTAAAGGCGAAGTGTTCACGCGCGATACTGTTAGGTCTTGGATTCGAATCTCGCCAGGTGGAATCGTGGATGCCCACCGCTGAAGAGTCCCACACTAGAGCGAAACTGTCATCCAGTGCTTCCAGGTTTTCCATGGTGGTCTAGCTTCAATTGACTCATGATTTAAACCATTCAATATATATTTGTCAAATCATTTACGTACTATTAAAGTTGAGTAAATGAAAGTTTAAATAGAGACAATGATGAAGAATATCATAATATAGTAGGAATAAAAACCAGTCACACCATTGTAGACCATAAAATGGCTTGACAATTACCAATGTGCAGTCATGAGAAATTTTTTTATGTACACATGAAGGAGGTTTGAATTTGCGAATATCGAACGTTTCCGCATGATGCAAACACATCGTATTTCTCACTGTCCTATCAAAGTTACTATTACTATCAAAAACAGCCTATTTTGATTGAAATACAAAAAGCTTGCTTAATATCATGAAATACTTGTCCAATTGACCAGGTGTATGGGTCGAAGCTCGAGGGCAGTCCTTAAGGTCACTGGCTGCTGGACTGAGTCGTTTTGTTGGGTAAAGATCGTTCATTTGGTGTTCATGCAACTATCAGAATTAATGGTAGTAGATTAAGTGAAATGGCTTAAAACTAGTTGCGATGGTTCAGATGTAATCAATCTGTGTATTCCTTAGAGTTTTAGAGTTGTTCTGTTCCACGAATTCGTTCTTGAACTAGATCGTCTATGCCTAATATTTGTCATCACCACTGGTACCGTTTATGCTTCATTTATTTCTGAGTTTCCTAGATAATATCATCTCTACATGATGAAATAATAAGGGGTCATAAATTGACGGACATATTTACTGGGTTCAACGCTCTGTACGACTGACCGGATGGTATTTGAAAGGGACTACATCGCGCTTTGAAACTAGGACTTTGTGTCACACCAACACCGCGGTAAGATTAGAAATATTTTCCTGTGGGTGTAGTTTTGTAACCATATTCTAGAAAGCTACTGCTCACTGGTTTTTTGTGTAGTAGATTAACGGATTTGATAAACAGATTGCTGATAAAACAAAGTTGCCAATCATAATACAAATTCATTTCCTGATGTTGCTCCTCTGCTTTGTGGACTTAATGTTGGCATAAAATGTCGTGAGTGGGGGTTGTAAAAAGGCCGATCCTACTTCATTTGAGGTGTTTTAACATACTAAAGCTCTTACAAAGAATAATAATTAGGTTTTACAGTGGGGATTAAGAACTCGGCGAAAATTCAATTAACTAAATTAAAAGTCAATTTGACTTTCAAAACGGGTTCAGTAAGCTGCGATTATCCTAATATCTCTTGAATGAAATTATTAACATAGATTTTCATGAATCCAACGTTGTGTTAGAATTTTAAAGATACATGTTTGGTTTTTATTTCATTCCAAACGTTCCCTTTGATGACAGTGAATATGTTAAACGCAAGATAAACGACGTCAATTTCTTCAAAGAATACTTAGACACTTGTTTATTTTAATAAAAGAAGTTTTTATGATTACGACACCACAAATGTCTCCAGCTGGTTAAATATAATTGTGCTAAATTGTTTTTAATTAGTCTCTTGAGAAGGGTATCAATAACGAGTAAACATAATGTCTTACTACTAATAATAAATACCATACATATTAAACTAGTTGATGTCTATCTAACCTCAGTAAATTAATGAAGATAAGTGCTGGGCTCAATTTTCATCGTGGATATTGACATTGGGTTGTGAATAATATTCGGCTGATAAGTCATAAGAGAGAGAAAATACGTTTGCTGAATTCCACGATTAGCTGTTATCTAGAAATATACTGTTCTATGACAGTAAGTTATGGACATAAATATAACATTCGTGTGACATTTAGAACAGTTCAGTATTGCTAACATGTTAAAAATATAATTATGAAGTGAATATTCTTCGTAAACAATATATAGTTATGACATACCAGATGAATTAAGCAGCCTTACTACGTATTCTACAATAAACACTGGTTACTTAAATTTAAACTGATCAACCTCAATTTAAATATCTTTACAGGACGAAGGTCATATTAATATCATATGAATTTAGGATTCAAGTTCCAGAAAAGTTAAGTGTCACCAAGAAAAACGTTTCTATTGTAGCTGATGAATTGTACACAGTTACAATAATGACGAATACAGTTTCCAAGATTGTGTGTGAAACTTTACTGTACAATAATGAACGATCAGTTCAGTATAACTATCGGTTATCAACTTTTCCAACTTGTATACAGTCTCTAATCAACCATTTTGATTGACACATCAGAGTTATTGACAAATACCTAACATTCTATTTATGATTTATTTCATAATCAGTATATTTTAAGAGATAAATGGACGTGTTTATCAACTTTATTGAGTGTTTTAAGTTATCAATGCATAATAAACAAATCAGTGTAAAATTAATAATTAGAATGGATTATTATTGACTGAACTAATTAGTTTTGACACTTAAGGAATTAAAGGTCGAAAATGATGTTGAATAAATTTAGAACTTTATAGAAATCATGAACCAACTTAAGTCTAACAACTTGGGAGCACTGAGTTCCCGTTTCGTCTTAATATAAGACTACTCGACAGTGAGCATCGACAACCACACACGTGGAACCGGCCCTGAGTTCGAGTCTTGGGTGAATAATACAAAGGAGCCGCATACTAACATGAAACACCCGACTCATGCTTTCAGGATGTTAAACTTAGTTCGGTTTATAATTTTAATAAAAACCAACAACCTACACAACCCAACACTAAGAAGTCTGCGATATTCAGATTTTATGGCTAGTGAAAAACAGAACACCGCTATTTTAACATTAATAGTTGTTTCATTCATTTCCTATGAAAGTTTGGATAGAATGACTCAGTTATCAATGAGTACTGAACTGTTTACCAGGTCAAAATGGATAGAGAAAGGGAAAACAGGTTGAGTAAAACGATGTATTTCCCGAGTGAACAATATTTACAACTTTATGGATAGTAATAATAAACGAAGCAGTGGATATGTGGGTGGTAAACTTGACCAAGTAAACAGTCTACTTACTAGTTATATCTCAACCATCCACATACTTGATCTACCATACAAACTTTGTGCATTCTATCATATCCTTGGAAATGCTTAACTGGCTTGTATTTGATACAGAAACTCGAGTCCAACGATGTGTAAGGAGAACACAAGACTAGTGATACCGATTTATCTAACCCGAAAAATTAATTAGGTCATTGCTTGTTATATCACATTTTGTAATTTAACAAGTCCTGTATAATTTCTTCGGTGTACCATAATATTGTAAATAATTTATGGTTACATAGTAATCAGTTGAAGACTATTAAATTGTCACTAAGAACTACTCCACATAGTTAATTTGAAACATTTATAGTCTGTGACGGGTAATAACTGACTTTTATGTTTATTTGAATGAACTAAAGGTGGGTCACGAAGATAGAGTATATACATTTTCAAGGATATTTAAGTGCATTTGTGATTAAAGTCTTGAGTAACGGGGTAAGACAATTGTTAAGTTCAGACCATAGAACAAAGTAGAAGAAAAGAAAGAGTGGGTGAAATCAACATTAAAAAGAACAAAGAGAAAGATGTGACTTAGTGATGAGAAATCAATGAGTCTCACAAAGTATGGGACTCAACACCGTTTACTGGGAATATGCCTCGAGAATAAAGTCTGAGAATCAGGTTTTTTGACGTAAATGGCTAGTGAGTAACCTACGAAACCCATATTACCCAATCTCCTGTATTTCACAAGACCTCTGATCACGTTTATTTTTATATCCAGCACTTTATATATATATAGACGTCATTTGAATAAAATAAAAACTTACTCTAGTACTCACTGGGATTTATTCACTCGAGGACTTCTACTAATAATTTAGTAAAGTGAATATTTAGGAATTGACCACACCTTATCAACTATAGAGTCAGAGCAATATTTTCTAAAAACAAAACAATTCTATTGTTAAAAATACTAAAACTATCTTACATAACAGTTTGTTTGAAATACTGTTATTGCTTGTGTCCTATGTGCCCTGTTAATGTATAACGTGACTATACCGCTAATTAGAGAGCAGTAAATCATCGATAGGACTAACGACACATAAAACCCGTGAGAGTAGTCTAGAGTACTTATCGGTCCTGTTTCCTGTCTAGCCCAGCCAATTAAGTTCAGAACACTAATCTCAGCCTCTGTAATATGAATCCTTTACTTCAACCATACTGGGTTTATATACCAACCAAACAGACCATATCGTACCAATAAAATAGGTAACAACATTTGTACAAGATTTAGCAAAATGTGGCTATGAATAAGGTAGATAGTAATTGATAGACGGAGCATAATTCGAAAATCGTAAATTGTGCAATGCTAACCGATGTTAGGGATGGTTGGAAGAAAGTTAGGGGCGGACAAACCAAAACGTGGCATCAGTGCTTGAAGACACTAACTTCTAGTCTGAGTCATGTTGGTAGATGCAGACTACTTGGTTGAGGTTCGCGTGACTATCGTAACCAATGGTTGGAGACTCTTGGTGACATGGCTCAGAATCGATCACAATGGCGTAGGTGTATAAACTCTCTGTCTTCCCTTAAACTAAGAGATTAAAATCGCTTCACATCTTTCTTTCTACCAACTAATTCTTTCTTCCTGTACTATATTATATGCAATCTTTCTTTTATATATTACTACCATTGACTTAATCACTCCTATGAGTCCGGTGTTCATTTTGCTGTGCTAATGAGGTATGGCAACTTGGACCGATGCATAAATGTGCTTGGTCCTACGTTGTCGCTGACTGACTCATAGGTCAAAATAAAGCTTATAATAAGAGGGACATGAATATGAATAGTTTAGTTACTTAACAATTATGCGATAAAAATATATGTAAAGTATTAGTTCAGAAATAGATTCCAACAGTTACTATCCATTATTCTTATCGGGATACAACAAATACGAGCTAAACTATTGAAGTGAAAGTTAATTTATTAGACAATAATTCATTCATCTCTTCAAGAACATATATTTAAATGACCAGAGTGTCAATAATTACAGTTCTGAACTTTCCATTTTGTCAAAATTACAACTATATTTTAAGGAAAACTAATACAGTTATTATCATACACGGGAGAAGATTGTTGTGGATGCGAAGGAATAGACCAATAATTATCATGTTAAGTCCAATGGTGTCCTTGGACTTTAAATGGACATTTCCTATTGGTCGATATTTACTTCACTTGTTTAATATTGTGTAAATGTTGTTTTCTATTTTTATGGTACGATGTGGTATGTTTGGTTAGTATATAAATAGAGTATGTCTGAAATACAATGATTCATATCTCAGAGGCTGTGACTTTCGTTCTGGACTCAACTGGCTGGGATAGACAGGGAAGCAGGGCCAATCGCACTCTAGGTCGTTCGTACGTGTTTACGTGTCACTGTAACCGATCAATAAAACACTGCTCCATCTAACCTGCAGTCACACCCGTTACAACAAAGTTGAAGTGTATTAGTGTTTATTATTACATACCATTAATACATTGTTGTAGTATTTATGATGAAAACAATGAATTCAATACACGAATTTGTAATCAAACAATGTGAATCATGAAACTGAAGAACAAATGATCTAATCAATCACAAATCAGTACCAATGATATGTACTAACCCTTAAGCTATTCAAACATTCTTTTCCATACAAGAGATAATGAACACTACATAACCGCATAAGCCAAAGTAAATGGGATGATTTCTAAATATGCAACTTAATGATCAAAATTCGAACTATTAAAACATTCATCCTGACCATAGTATACTATTAAAGTAGTATATAATTCCCAAAAGATAAACAAATCATTAACAAAAAGGAAACTTATTCATTATTATTTAATTAACTACAGAATACCAAAAACTAACAAGTGTGATTCACACATTTACCATAATCAAATTGAAACGGGAAAACAATTATTTGAAATTATCAGTTAAAATGTAATTAGTATCTCAGAAGGGGTTTTGTGGAGAGTGTAGTAATTTCAACAGTAGAGATCATGAGTCAATTAAAGCTAGACCATCATGGAAAACCTGGAAGCACTGGACGGCCATTTCGTCCTATTGTGGGACTTTTCAGCAGTGCGCAATCACGACCCCGCATCGCGGGATCCGAATCCAGGACCTATCAGTCTCGCGTCAGGCGCTTAACCAACTAGGCCACTGAGCCGGCATCCAAATGTGTTAATGTCTAACCTAATTGTCTTGTTTAAGAATTTATCAATCCAAAATGTAATAATAATTATGCGATGAGAAATTGAATGGTTAAATAGTATGTAGTGTCAGTCACTATGTTAAACCCATATACCTTATTCTAGCTTTCGGACATCCCATTCTATTCATTGTACTTGAGTCATATCTTGACCTTGTTAATTATTCGCTTATCAATTTTGACTGTTTTTATATGAGAGTATATGTGTGCACACTTCATATCCCATGACTCACCACATGTCTACTTATAAATATTGAGTAGCGCTTGACTAAAAATGAGTTGGCTTACCAGCCATCTCTACTGCGCATCATTTTTACTTGGCTTCACCGTGTGCTTGCTCGCTGTAATCTTGCGGATTTTTATTAATCATTAACAATAAATGATCTCTACAACTGGTGTTCGGGCTTCTGAATAATCTCGAGTAAATCCGTAATTCTACTAGGAGATTAAGCCTACCTTAAATACTCAGTTTACGGGCTATTATTTATTGGAGTCAGATATTAGCCTCAACAAGTACAAACCAAGAATAATAAAAATATTAACACATTATTATATTTACAGTTATGTAATATACTCTTGTGGGTCAGGATAATTTTACATTAGTTTTCAGGAGGACCGGACACCATCCAGACTTTTACGTGACAACTCAAACCCGTTTAACAAAAGAGCCAGACACCTCCCAGGTTTAACCCGAGCAGTACAGCTCAATTTCACTTGCAGGAGAGCCAGATACTACCCAGGCTTAAAATTTGTGGCTCAAATAGTACGGCTTAATCCCGTTTCTAGGAGGATCAGGCACCATCCAGGCTTACGCTTCGTGGATTGGTTGATGTTAGACACTATCACCATTGGATGCCGGCTCAGTGGTCCAGTAGGTTAAGCATTCGCGCGCGAGACCGGAGGCCTTGGGTCCGAATCCCGGGAGCGGGATCGTGGATGCGCACTGCTGAGGAGTCCCACAACAGGACGAAACAGCCGTCCAGTGCTTCCAAAGGTGGTCTACCATCAATCGGTTCATGATCTCAATCAAAAACTTAATAATCTCCACGACTTCTATACTAGTAATTAAACTTTATAACTCCAGCAGTACAGCTCAATCTCGCTTCACAAGACAACCAGATACCATATATGATTTAATGCTACAATCTGAATAGTACAGCTCAATCCTGTGGCGCAACCACACAGGTACCAAGCACCCTGGTGGATCATTCGTATACACATTTACGTCACATGTATAATTGTTCCGATCAATGATCGCATGAATCAATTATGCATAGAACGAACAGGCCAAATTTAACCTATTCCGCTTACACGACAGTCAAATTCATTAATATTAGCAATAGCGACATGCCTTACAATGGCCCTTAAGAACACTGAAAAACAATCACCACTATGAATGAAATCAGTTAACCAGAAAACCAATTTTTCGCATGAACAGTCAGCAAAATTTGCCAAAGCAATGCCAAATCATCGACAACATCAATGACGAACCTCTAGTCTCATCTAAGACCTTCAACTCTATATAGCAATATAGTTTAGACTTCATAGAACACATATGTAGGGTAGTAAACGAAATAACCCAGCATGAAGTGTTAGGACTTAAAGAACGTCTCATATGTGACTATGAGTTCCATATAGCAATGTATATATAATATTAAAAGATTATTACTAAACGTTTATATTCATAATGTATGATATGATTTTGTTACAAATAACGTGGAAAGAATTCCATCAGAAAAAACAAAAAAACAAAATAATTTTATATTCTTATCAAATAAGTTCAATAGTGAAGGGATTTGTTTTCCGATACATTAATGTTAACATAAATGTTATGAATATTATCCAACATTGATATATGACTGATTGATTTTATATGATACTCTTTTGAAATATATACAAATTAGAAAGAAAAAACTATCAAACGTTTCTATGATAATGATGATGACGATGTTATATCTTCTTGAACATATGGATTTATAATGATCATTAGAATGATGCTTTAAAAATTGTTTTCTTTTAAATTTGTTTTAAGTAAATCCTCTTCCCATATATCTTTAACTAAACGATAAATTGCCATTGATGCACGAGCATCTTCAATTGAACAATGTTCAGTATTTTGAATATTAATGCCTATATCAATAAGTAATTGTAAGAAAATATGAAATAGATGATTCTTGGAAGAAGAAAAGAAAAAACAACCTCCAATTTATTGAAATTAAATAAATAGGAAAGATGTACACACATATACCAATAGGAGACTAATCAACAACGACAATCCTAAATATTAATGAGAAGAATCAAAATAACCAATACAAAAATAAAATTAAAACTTCAGCCCCATTTCATAAGCTAATGGCTATCTGGACTCATTTTATTTATTTTAACACAAGGAGCCACCAAATACATATGCGCCACACAAATCTTATTTGATATGTGTGAGGGCTGTGATACTGCTCGGGTGCCCAAACTGAACCACGTGGTTTTCTTAGGGGGCCACAACCCGAGCCTTCGACCTAAAGGTCTGATCCACAAGGCAGTGGAGCATCGTAAAGAGATGCAGTCCCATAGTAGCCGGTGACGGATGATTGGTTCCTACGCCATTTGTTCCCGCAGGATACTGAAGCCCATGTGCACCATTGGTTTGAGATCCGGTTAAAGCGCCGGACATTCGCTTTTCGTCCTTTCATTTTCGTAAACAACAGTATTGCCACAAGAAGGCAGTGAGTAGGACTTCCCTGGCAGAGGCTATATACGCGTGGCCATGTGAGAGCATTTCGAGAGAGAGAGAGAGAGTGGACTCTCCCCACTCTCGGCCGTACAAGGGCGTTTGGGGGCGATAGCATTTGAAGTAAACGGTACTGGGTTCAAATCCTGGAATGAACATGATTTCTAAGATGCAGGTACATTTAACTGACGAGTCCCAAATAGCACGAAACATGCGTCTTGGATTCTATTACTAACCACTTTATAAAAATAGTTGTATACAATAAAACATTTTCTTGTTTTCTTTTAAGATTACTAACTACTATTGATTACTGAATAGTAATATATTATTTGTATAAACGTGTTTGTCAATATTTGGATAACTATAATTTGTTTCTTTTAAAAAGATAATAAAAATAAACAACAACTGAATACAGTGTTAATTATACTTTATAATTAAAGAATTTAACTAGTAACAAATTACACTAAATATTTAGTACATTGTTCTTTTTCTATGTAAACTACTAATCGATGACACATAGTAGTATTTTTTAATTATGAACTTCACTACTATTATTATCTTGTCATATATCATTCAGGTTAACAGTCATAGAAATTATTTTGATTTTGTTTATTTTTTTAATTTTCTTTAATATACTCTTATTCTAGGCTATATTACCCATTGAAGTTAGACATTAACACCGTTGGATGCCGGTCAACTCAGTGGTTTAAAGGCGAAGTGTTCATGCGTGAGACTGGTAGGTCTTGGATTCGAATCTCGCCAGGTGGAATCGTGGATGCTCATTGTTGAGGAATCCCACAATAGGATGAAACGACCATCTAGTGCTTTGAGGTTTTCCATGGTGGTCTAGCTTCAATCGACTCATGATTTCAACCACTGAAAATAATATAACTTAAGTGTTATGATGGAATTGACTAGTAAGTAACCTCATTTGTTATTTATTTTCGAACCCATTTTTGTGATGTAATCTTTTCTATCCTCTTATAGACATACAGTTTTCATATAACTACATATACGAATATAAAGCTTAAGTAAATGGTTTCAAATGTAGATGATTATTAATAATCCTTTAAAATTTATAAGAACTTTAGTCTAAATTTAAAAGAGTAGAATCATGAAAGTTTGACAATGAGTTAATGTAAAAAATTAAGGAAAGAAACTATATTTTTAATATATCAGAGATTGGATTTTAAGTAAACCCAATGTTTCGTTCAACAACATCAAAATTATTGAATATAAATAGGTACGTGGTTCTCTGGTTAACTGTATACTAAACAAATCATCCGATCATGTTAACAATGTTGGAAGTAAGAATTGGCTGTATTGAGTATGAGACATCTGATGTGTAAAGAGAAGCGTGTTAAGACAACAGATCGTATGTATGTGTAAGTGGATCTGAGGTGAGAGAAATTTCATTGACTATATATCGCCTCAACCAGAAAAATAATTGTTGTTAGAAGTAACGTCGGCCTCGTGGCTTCCGAAGAATCTCGACTTTCACCATGAGACGTTATAATTAACGTCGGTATATAGAATGTACGAACGATGTGGAAGACCATGAGAACCAATGAAATAGCTACGGAGATGAGATACAACTTTGTGGTGCTCGGAATCGGTGAAACCCATTGGACACAAGCTGGGCAGAAAATACTAGCTTCGGAAAAGGTGCTGTTGTACTCTAGTCATGAAGGAGTTTCACTGATGCTGTCCAAGTAAGCACGAAATGTGCTAATAGGATGGGAAGCTCATGGATCTAGAATCATCAAAGCATCCTCCAAAACAAAGGAGGAGATTAAAATAAATGTCATCCAGTGTTATGCGCCTACCAATAATAGCAACGAAAACGATAAAGAGCAGTATAATAAGAGGCTGCAGTCGATCGTAGAGAAGTGTCCAGGAAAAGAACCGAAGTATGTTGATGGAAGGCCTAAATGCCGAGGTAGGAATGGACAACACCGACTGTGAAGATATTATGGGACGACATGGACTAGGAAAAAGGAACGAAAATGGCGAGAGATTTGCAAATCTATGTGCATTCAATAAATTGGCTATAGGCGGCACAATAGTTTCACACAAACGCATACACAAAGCCACATGGGTCTCACCGGATCACACTACACAGAACCAGATAGATCATATTGGCACCACTAAAAAATTCCGAAGGACAATGAAAGACGTGAGAACCAAAAGAGGAGCTGGCATAGATTCAGATCAGAGAGACCCGTTAAGAACAAAAATGATAAGCCAACGGCTCAGATTCAAGGACAGAGGAACAAGTGGATGGAACACTTTGAAGAACTCTTGAATAGATCAACCCCACTGAACCCAATGGACATCGAAGTAGAACACACAGACCTCCCTGCAGCTGTCACTCCACAAACGATCGGAGAAATCAGGATAACCATCAGACAAATCAATAGTGGGAAAGCAGAAAGACCTGATAATATACCAGCGGAAACGCTGAAGTCAGACATAGAAGTAACTGCAAAGATTCTCCACGTTCAATTCAGGAGGAAGGACAAGTACCGATGAACTGAAAGGAAGCTTACCTCATCAATATACCAAAGAAAGGAGATCTAAGCGAATGTGAGAACTACATAGGCATCATACTACTATCGGTGTCAGGAAAACTTTTCAACAGTGTTGCTGAACCAGATGAAGGAATCAGTAGATGCAGAGCTTCGAGATTAACAAGCCGGATTCAGTAAGTATAGGTCGTGTATGGACCAAATCGAAACATTATGACTCATAGCCGAACAATCAGTTGAATGGAACTCGTCACTATACACCAACTTCATTGATAATAAAGCGTTTGAAAGTGTGGATAGGAGAACCTCAAGGAACCTAATTTGGAACTATGGTGTACCTGAGATCGTCAATATCATACGGAATTTATATGATGGACTATAGTGCAAAGTCTTGCATGGAGGACAGCTCACAGATGCATTTCAAGGGAAGACCGGTGTGAGACAAGGCTGCTTACTTTCACCCTTTCTTTTTCTTCTGGTGGTTGACTGGATTATGAAGACCATCACATCTCAAGGGAAGCACAGAATACAATGAACGAGTAAACTTAGCAGATGATCGATCCCTTCTATCCATACACACGAACAAACGCAGGTTAAGACAACCAATGTAGCAGAAGCCTCTGCATCAGTAAACCTCAACATACACAAGGGAAAACCCAAGACCCTCAAATACAACACAGTGAGAACCAACTAAATCAAATTTGATGGAGAAAAACTGGAAGAGGTGGAAACTTTCACGTACCTGAGTAATATCATCGGCAAACAAGGAGGATCTGATGTAGATGTAAACGCAGGAATTGGAGACGCAAAAGCAGTATTCCTACAACAAAAGGAGACATGGGACTAAAAACAGCTGTCAAACAATATCAAAGTCAGAATCTCCAATACGAACGTCAAGACAGTCCTATTATACAGAGCTGAATCTTGGAGAACAATTACAATCGTCATCAAAAAGGTACAAGTATCCATCAACAATTGTTGACATAAGATACTCAATGTTTGTTAACCGGATACCATCGGCAATAGCCTGCTGTGGAAGAGAACGAACCAGATTCCAGATGACGAGGAAATTAGGAAAATACGCTGTAGGTGTATAGAACATACATTGAGGAAATCATCAAACCACATCACGAAGCAAGCGCTAATTTGAAATTCTGAGAGGAAAAGAGGGAGACCAAGGAACACATTGTGCAGGGAATTGGAGGCAGACATCAAAAGAATGCATAGCAATTGGAAGCAACTGGAAAGGATTTCCCGAAACAGAGTTGGTTGGAGAATACTGGTCGATAGCCTATGACTCTCTCCTAAGGATAACAAGCGTAGGTGAAGCGAAGTTAAGGTTTATATAGATATATGATAAACAATTAACTTGATCAGTATAGTAACACAAACATTTATCATTCTATTTATTTATCTTCATTCAACGCATGGTGTGAAATGTTCGACTCATATAATCTATAGAATTATGTTTTCATTAAAAATTCACCGATCAGAGGCGATATAAAGCCAATGAAATTTCTCTCACCTCAGATCCACTTACACATACATACGATCTGTTATCTAAACATGCTTCTCTTTACACATCAGATGTCTCATACTCAATACAGCAAATTCCTACTTCCAACATTGTTAACATGATCGGATGATTTGTTTAGTATACAGTTAACCAGAGAACCACGTACCTATTTATATTCGATAATTTTGATGTTTGATTATATTTCCTTGAAAAAAAAGCTTGAACTAGATTACTGAGCGAAACACTGGGTTTACTTAAAATTCAATCTCTGAGATTTTACAAATAAATTTTTATCATTATTTATAGTTTTTCTAAGAATCTTAGACTCAGCTTTTTGGTGTTGATCCTCAAATTGTTTGGAATTTTTCTTTACCGTTATATCATTACCGTCAGCTTGTTCTTTTATTCTCAATAAATTATTTCCGTTCAGTATTTCGACTTAGATAAATTGTGAAATGTTTATTTTTTATGATCCCAATGCTTCAGCTTGCTCATAAATATATGCAAGGAAATATATTGTGTCTTAACTGTTAATTTGACTTTTTCGGCCGTTGTAACCGGTTAAACATGTTGCAAATTACTAAACGATTACTAATGTATGCCCAAGATAGTAACTCACATCTTTCTGTGAATGTTAGTCGAACTATCCGGCTCCACAAATTGAAGTTGATGGGAGCAGCGTTTGAGCCACTAAGTGGCAAGTAAAAACGTGGGATTTATAACCCTTAAGCTATCATAATAAATCAATACAGGTAACATAGTGTAATGCTAGCCAAGGTAGAAGTAATATTTACTATGAAATTATTTTATTCTGATCTCATGATTATTAAGTCCTTAATCGGGCTAGGAATTTAATAGGAAAATTACGCTGCCAAGTAAACAGTTCGATATCAAGTTAGTAGATTTTCCATATGAGTTATTATTCAAAGAATAGAAAGACTGAAAAATAAACCCATGATATGAGAGTTACAAATTTCTATGAAATTATTAAAAATATTTAACAAAATATATTATCACTAACCGAAAAGCCGGAGAGTAAGGGCTCTTAGGCCAATTTGAGGTTTCGTGGAAAAACCAGCAAGCAACTTAGGATATGGGACCCTACAAGTGTCACGTACCAAATGAGGAGGGTGCTTCATATTTAATACGGCGAAGTCATTCTTCAGCATATGACCTACTACAATACGATTCTGAAAAACAGGATGGATGTTGAATTGAGTCCAATAATTACCATTTATTTGAAATAAAATTTAAATTGAATAATTGTACACAATTTACATTAGACTGATATGTGAATATAGATTAGAGCACTACTTAGGTTTTTGAGCCTATAAACACAAATATTGACTTACAATACCACATAGTCACATTTGATATCTCAAATAAAATGTTTGACCAATAGCCATTTCAATCGCTAATATTTAAAACTAGGTGCTTACATGTATGATTTTTTCAACGCGCTCTCGAACATAGGAATAAGGTATTGCACGAGACATATCTTCTTCACGTATTCCACTCCATTTTGTGCGATAATCACAAATTTCTCCTTCAGGTTTAACTATGACGTCACATAAAACTTCTCCCTCATAGTCAACAATACTAATGCGTCCTAAAGCACTAGAATTTTTGAGTCCAACCCCAACCATTTCACAATCCAAAGCAATAGGACTCAAATTGATGGGACTGTTCATTTCAGACGTAAGATCCAATGAATCAAAAACTATAAAGGTGAGTTGTAAAGTAATAGGTCACTTACCTAGAGTAGTATTTTCTTCATGCTTACAAGAAAGACATTTAATCTGAATCGGACAGGTGTACTTCTTTACCGGATATTTACTACTAGATTTATAAGCATAAAAAATAACTCTGTTACTACTATTTGCAAGCACTAAATTAGTAGGAATACTTTCTGAGTTATGACCATTACATTGATGGCCAAAAGTCATTAGGTGGGGCAAATTGAGAAGCTATGAATAAGATTAAAATACAACTGCACGAACTGTTAAGCCACAAAGTATGTTACTATTTCTCGCGATGCACTCACCATGAACATAAAAAGCCACAGGTTTGAATTGAGACAGACGTAGTAAAACTTGTTAGGAATTAAGACAACCGTGCATCTGTCTAAGTTATCACAATTACTATCAACATCTACTAATTACCGGGCTGTCAGGCGATCACACATGACGCCATGAACAGGATGGTTAAGTAATTATAGTATGAGGAATATAAATTTAATCCCAACTTTAGGATGTAGGAAACGGTTCGGATTTGTGAACCAACCGTTATACATCAAGTTTTTAAAACAGAGTTTTAGCATGAGCAGTGGGTGAACGTGATCAGAACTTTCAAACGGAAGTAATCAATACTCCTGAACTGAATACCACACTAAATACCAATTATTTTCAGAACTTCACGAGGTATCTACCTAGACGAAGTGCATTACATTTATGGAAGGCCGATGATTAGCTCTATTATTTATGCTTTAATCCTCTAACAATACATCAGAAATCAGGAAAAAAAGACAAAAGGTGATGGTGCTATTCATATTTGTTGTTTACAAAAACTGAGGCTAGGTGAAAATCTGCGGAATCCAAAGGCGACGTACAATTTTGTAGGATTTATTGACCAGTACCACGTACAAAAACACCGCTCCTGATTCCTCCTTGCTTCTTTTTTTTCTCTTTCCAAATTTATTTCACTGTATTATACTCTTTAAATAACATCTCCAAACCCTAATCTTCCCGATTACCGCTTATATTCTTACTACCTCTACCACTACGGGATTTGAATCGACAACTGCATCACTGTGCTAATGTGGTATGGGAACTCGAACCGATGTATGTACGAACGAAGTTCTACGTTGTTACTGACTGACTTGTAACTAGACGTACGCGCAAGGTTGTGTTTTGTCATAACATCTGGCCTATGTAACATAATAGTAGAACACTTTTTAAAAATCTCCGGAGTAAACCCACAGATTAAAGTTCAGTAAAATCATTGATCCTTCTTAGGTCAAACTACTCTTCACATATAAATATTTATATCTTGTTTGATAGATGTCGAACAAAGAAGTCGAACTGACTGACTGACTGACGAAAACACCGTCTAGTGATAGGCTAAAGGAGTGACTACATCGTTTTCATTTGTATCACATGTAAAAATAAACAATAAGATAGAAGGAAATCGAGACAAAGGCCCACTGCCGCGAAGTAACAGCCAAGGGATCTGGAACCCTAATGGGTTTTAAACGGATGTTTGCCAAGTAAGATACTAATATGTTCACTACATTACACACAACTTTAGTGAGATCCAAACTTGAAAACCGAGTCGGGGCTGTAAGCCTCTATTTAAAAGGCGACTTGGATGTCTTAAAAAAAGTACAGAGGGCAGCTACCCGTGGAATTCCAGAACTTTGAGTTTAACCATGCAAAGAGCGTGTTAAACAGTTAAACCTTTTCATCCTGTCCTACCACAGATAAAGAGGTGATCTAATTTTGATGCACAGAATGCTAAGAAACTATTTTGGACCTGTGTCCCTCTTATTTCTTCTCATCAGATCAGGACAATTCAAAGAATATAGCAGGGGAGTATAAAACCCAAAAAGGAACATAATACCCATAGCATACAGTTCTTCACATCGTGTCATCAATTCTGGGAACTTGTTATTCAGAGAAGTGGTGTTCGCCCATTGGAATGACTCATTCAAGGGAAGACTAAACACTCAGAAGCCTCGTATCGATATTTATGTATTTAAGCAAATATTTGGAAAAGGACTAGCATGGGCCGTAGACATTCTGTCTTCAATACACAGATCTGAAACCTCAATTGGGTGAGACTATAATGTATGGAAAAATCAACATTAAGGACAGTAAATCTTCGATATCGACACAAAATTTATTCATCGACATAGGTAACTAGCATTTTGAGCGATACTCTAATTTGTGGACAAGCCAATCAGAGGCGTTTTGGAGATTTCAAGGTGACGGGGCCAGCTTCAGTGCTTAATGCTAACGTACGTTCAGTTCACAGGGAATTTTGTACAAAACGTGATAACTGAGCGGCTATAACAAATGAAACGGCAAGATCATAATTTGTGGACGAATCAATCAGGTATAAGATAAAAGATCTCGAAGTTTAACGCGAAAGGCTTTCATCCATTTGGCTAAATGAATTTCTGGCATTATAGCTGATGTCAGTTCATGATGAAAACCCCATATATAATTCCTAACTAAGGCAAATTATGACAATTAATGCCAACTGGATAATGCAAGCACTGGCTGCAGCCAGGTACTACAATATATAAGGATGTTTGGAGAGCGTACAGACTCCCACATAGGCTTGGTTATGTGCATCGCGTCGTTATCCGCAAGTAGCATTTTGTGTACTCAACAACTGGAGTGCACATAAACAATATTGAAGCTATGTGGTCGAGGCTGAAAGTTTTTGAGACTTTATCATGGCTCCAGAGGCCGACTATTCTGTAGCCGTATGGATGATTTCCTCTATTGCATGCATTACGATTTTAGAACTTCTGAACCTCTTTCTAACCTTGACAAGTTTTCGGACCACGTATAAGAAGTGTATCCATTTTTATTTCCTTGGTTTTGTATAGCATCTTCTTACTCTATACAGACTGTTTGCTGATTGGCTAATATTGCTTAAGGTCATTTAAGATTCGTTCAAAGGTCGTTCATAAATTAGAGTCGCCGCATAATGGCACAATAGCTTATGTCATTTTCCGAAGACCCTAACTACAATTCTTAACCGTGAATCCTAATCCTAACTCCTTATATTAACTTATGACCCTCTAATAACGCTATTAAGTAAGTGCATGTACTAAAGGTCCCTGTAGCATCACTCAAAAGTCATGCGTAAACAATAGTCCCACCAAGTTTTGTTAGGCTTTCTGCAGAAAAGACTTTGGATGAGTGAATTTATCCATAAAACCGATCAGCCATCAGCAAACACTACTCTTTTATATTTAAAGAGAATAAAAATCGGAGAAACTAAGTACGGTACCAATAAACATAAAAATACATATCCAATATAAAATACAATAATTCACCATGAACTGACCTAGCCATCGCTATTGAAAAGTGATAAGTATGAAACCTTGACGTCAAAACACTCTCAGCTGTAACGTTTTGAAAAGCAGTTACACAAAATCAGCTCGAGAAATGCACTCATGATAAGTGACAACCTTAACGGATGGCGCGCGTTGTTTCAAGGTCAGTGACAAGCACCACTATATCAAATATGCTCACGACTACTGAGTGTAAACTAGCTGCTCTTTTGAGCTCATTTCTTTTGCTATCGTGATTTGATCCCAGGTCTTTTCGTCGTTTAATGTGGACATTCAAGCATATGAGCTAGATTAGTCTTAGTGGGTTCAACAGCTATTTGGATGTTGATATTTCTTGACTATAAAAGAGTTTAGTTTGTTCTACAGCAATGAGTTTTACAGAATTAAAATTATCAATTAACAGAGTAACTGATCACATGGTTGCGATTCTAAAATTTGAACAAGTAAGAGGAGAGGTGGGATATGAATAAAGTCAAGACTTCTCAACACGAAAAATCTGTTAGCCTAGATATCCTATATCTAACTCAATAATTTACCACTGTTACATGTAGATGTGTGAATATCGTTAATATGATGCACTTGCTCACATTGTCAGATTTTTAGTTTTTACTTTTTGGAGTTAAACTTTTTAACTCAAGCTAACTTACACCGAAATCATACTTACTGAGGATTTTTGGGCTGCTTGGGTTGAATGGGCTGACTTAATAAATATGTGATAGTTATTTTTGACCTTATTGACAACATCTAGTAATCCCCTGTGGGATTCGATACGCAATCATTCTGCAGTTGATTTCGGTGGGGTAGTCCTGTAAGGTTGGTGAAATATAATTGAACACCTATAAAGCTTTTCATGAAGCTGAAATGTTTTGAAGATGCCACAGCTATTCGGAGTTTGACAACGCTTTATTCAGTAACACATAATATGAAGCGCACCCACCATATGAAATCAAGAGACAGAAGTGAGCAGGTTTGAAGATATATTTGACAGGCTATCACTATATCGAGGATCGTCTGATTTAGTCTTACTAGCGATTGCATGAGTTGTTGAGCACGGCGTTCCTACTCGTGATCTGGTGCGGATACACGACTGAGCGCCTTCAGCTAGGTGAGTTCATTAAAACTAATGTAGTCAGCATCCAATGTCGAAAATTTACAGAGCTATTTATTTTAGGGATTTATTTACCGCTACAATTTCAAGCAAAGAACGTCGATCGATGTACGTTGAAGTGTTGACGGAACTTGTTCAAGGTCAAAAATGACTAAGGTGGATTGTTCAGTTTACCCTCATGGAAATAACGTTTAGTCTCTTTTTCATTGCTTTTCGTGAAATGGCTGAGTGGGTAATGTTAAGAATAAGCACAGAGTCGGTCAGACCATGGAGTTTTTTAAATGGTTGACTTCGTCATACTGTTATGTAGCTTAAGTGGTTACATCACTCCATTTCAACAAAAAATATAAGATAATTTTTAGTCGAACGATTTAAGCAAGCACATTATATCATTTATACTCACATCTCTATAAATCTCAAAACTGTGGAAACTAATATAGAAACTGAATAAACGTATTATCCGTTATCTATGTGTCTTTTTTCATTTTGTGAGTTTTCCCAAGAGATTGAAGTATCGTTTTTCGACAGAATGTGGTTAATGTCTCGCAAAACAAATCATCAATCCGGTTTGGACAAAGTTTAATCTTTATGTGACTACTTATTGTTAGTAAGTAGTTAGATACATAATTAGTAATATTCGCATAGTTTTTTGTTGGTATTGTTTTAATCGCTCACTGGAGAATCATTTAATGTAGTGAAAAGGAAAGTCTTTAAAGCTAATTTTAAGCTTTTTTGTAACAATGAAAATTATGTAAGTAAGTCTCAGTATCATTAATAAAGTTTTTTGTAATGTAGAAATCGCAAGTTTAGTTAAGTAAACCTACTTTACTCTGTAGTAAACGAAATAAACAAAAGTATTTTTATATTGATATACTGTGGTAAATCAGGAAGAAACAACGCATTGGTGAAAGAAAAATAACTGGTCAAGATCGGCAAAAATGTAATAAGAAATGTCATGTTTTTCTTGACTTAGTTGATACCGAATTATTTCGAGTAATTTGCAAGACCACCATTGATCTACATTTAAGTATATGCAAACAGCTATTAAAGGACGTCAGCAAAATATGAAAGTTTAGACCTCATTTTATATGGCGTTGTTAACCTTCCTTTTTCTCTCAATTAGTCTTTGATATACTTACCGACTGAAGCACTTTTAACCTGATGTTTGTTAGATCGTGGATAAAGATAAATGATCATTAGAAACACTCAACTTAATAGAATCGGAATTACAAAGTTTAGCACTACTTGAAGAGAACTGAACAGTAGTCTTACAAACTGCTTTTATATGTCTGATTTTACTACATTTAAAACACTTTTCATATTGACGTACTAAAATGTTTCTACTTATTGGAATTATAGCACTAACTAAGAGTCCCAGAAATAACGCAATTGAATTAAGAAGACACAAGTACAAACGAATGTACTGCATTTGGAATTCGAAATCGAGCCATCAACATGTACAAAAGTATCATCAGTTAATTCAAACACCACATCCGCCACAGCTTAAATAGAAGTATAAGTGTTTGCAATCGGTTGTATGTTTTCTTGTTAAGTTCATCCTGAGTCTGTCCGACATTGTACTGGATGAAAACTTTGTAGTATATAGAATGTGCTCATTAGTATGGGAATTAACAAACGAAATCGGAACAGACTCACCTGGAATTGTATACAATCAACATATCGGTTTTGTACTGAAATGATTCATATCTCGAATTGGAACCATAGATTTTTCAACGCTATCCCCCCCCACGAAATAATGTTGGGTCTTTATATTCCCAAGTTATGAATAATGTGGCTTCAGTTAAAACATATTTCTCACATTGATTAGAGTAAACATTAGAAGTGTTTTTGTGATAAGGATGAACAACAGTTGATATGAAATCATCAGAATTGTAATCAAAACCGAGCTCATTTAGTATTCGTGCTTCGCATTGAACAAGTTTTTCACCAGGAGCAAATGCATTATGAGGATAGGTAATACATATGACATCAGGATTTGATTCTACTGAAATATTTTCATGAAGTTGACTAAGAATGTCATTGCAGAGCAATGGATCATTAGAAAAATTAGCATCTATCATGACTGCCTCAGGTTTTTGATAATGAATAGGTTCATTTAACATATTTTCCTCAGATTTGTAAGAAATTTCATCAGAAATATGTGAATCATTAGGAAAAGTCATACCTGGTACAATAGCATGAGAATTCTGATAAATCGGTTGATTAGGAACTGTTGTCTCACAAGAATTCTGGATTTCATTTAACTCTGAACTGCTTTTTGACTCTTCACTGTCTATTGCAATAGTTGATAAAGATAAATCATCATTATAAATACTCGACTCAGTAGAATCAGAATTACAAGACTTAATATTAGTTGCAATAACATGAACATTAGTATTGCAGACTGACTGAATATATCCAATATCATCACATTTAAAGCATTTAGAATTACGAAATTTACATGAATTAAAAGCATGGAACTTGCCACAGGACAAACATTGACCAAACTTGCACCAATCTTCGTGAAACGCACTGCAACACCTCAATGAATAATCTGCATAACCTTGAGTATGCACTGGATTAGGATAACGTGATGTAGTAGAACTTTTGATGTTCTAATGAATCATTTTAGGGAATTCCCCTTCTTTACTGCAATCAAAATTTGCATATTTGACATGGTTTAGTAGTAATGCCTTGAGAGTTGTATAAAGAAGCGAAATGGGTTTTTCCGGCATAGCCAGAGTTCTTAATAAACCGTATGCTTCTTTACCGATGAATGTGAGGAAATATGCCACAATATTAACATCCTCATCATCTTCTTTGGTCATGACTCAGATTTCGAACCTTTCGAAATAATCCTCAAAAGCTTCAGAAGTTGAATGAATGTCTAACTTTTCCATTGCAGGCACAATCGCGACGCCAGTATAATGTTTCTACTTATAGGAATTATAGCACTAACTAAGAGTCCCAGAAATAACGCAATTGAATTAAGAAGACACAAGCACAAACGAATGTACTGCATTTGGAATTCGAAATCGAGCCATCAACATGTACAAAAGTATCATCAGTCAATTCAAACACCACACTACCTCCAACCACCATCTCATCTCAACATAGTATACATAAAATCGAGTCACTCAGACTAGTGGCCACATTGCAACTTGATCAATAGAATTCGATCTGCACTGAGAAGGACCTGACATACATGACATTGATCATCATCCAATGATTAAACAGTTATAAATATCTTTGTGTTCATAACTGATTCATTTTAAAAATACAGAGTTAAGTCGGAAACTTATAATATCTTTTAACTTTGAAAATCTAAGCATATTTGAATAGATTTCTTAATTGGATAAAATTTACTTTGTTTCTACCAATTTTAAAATCTACTTCTTTCATAATATAAATCTTATACGATTGTGAGGATAGCCCACGAGTGAACTCGAGGAAGCTCTAAGAAGCTCAAAAAGAGCCGAACATCTTTTATTCAATCATGTTTTGGAAGAATATTCCAGAATCCCTACATGTAGCTTCCCTATTGGAAAAATGCTAATAGCACCCTGTATGCGAATTAAAAGACTATAATGATGATCTGATTTTTACTAAAATCTATAAAGACCTGACAGTTCTGTATTATAATTAATACTGTTTTGGAATAGTATTCCTTTCACTTGTCTTCTATCTTCTTATTTACAACCTGGTGAGTTCTAGTGTTCGAATGCTCTAGTTGTACACGATATAATAAGAAATGAAGCTTTTAGATATAACCATACTATTGTTTAATCAATTGTATATTCGAATATTCACTAGATAATTAAAGTAATAGATAAGAATTCAATTGTGAATAATAAGATCCAATTATGATTCAAATTATGATCCAAAACTGATCTATGTTATGTTTAAATAAGAAATAATAACTATATATATGAAGTTACCTTTACAAACATAATTCTTATTGTCTTTTTGTTATCTCTATGTATGAATTTAAATATTTAATAAATGTATACATCATTTTCTGTATAGAAAAAAAAAGGGGGGGAAATGTATATCAATCTATTAGTTTGGTTTCGGGGTGGTCGTTCATATTGTTCTGTATATATTTTTTTAGCATTAATTTTAACAATATTCATTGTTTAATTAACATTGTTGTCATCTCGTTCTCTCTCTCTCCTAGTTCTCTTTTTTTTTCTCCTTTTTCTTCATCATCATCGTCAACATCATCAACATCTACTTTTCTAGTAAAAACAAAATGGAATTATACTTCTTTCTTGTTATTCTTTTTTTTCTTTTACATTTCTTTCAACACTGGTAATTATATGTTATATTCAAGAGAATATATATTAGATAAGACCACACAAATTACTAAAAGCCGCGTCTTAAAACCCACTTTCACACACACGCACACATACATATACACACCGATTCTAAGAAATGTATTTTATATATTAAAAAGGCGCCATTACATTTGATTAATATCTACTTGGTAGGTATAATATATTTGAAAATTATAACTAATACTACTACTAATAACAATAATAGTAATAATGATCATAATATTAGTAGTAGCAGTAGTCAGGTAAATAAATAAACTACTAAAAAAAAATTCGTATATACAAGTGAATGTAGATTAGTTATTCATTTCATAGAATTATTAAATGCCTTTCCTTTCAAATAACTTGTTACAATGTACTTGTTTTCTGTCATAGTTTAACATTGAACGAATATACTATTTGTTAATTTATCTTTATTATTATTATTATTATTATTATTATTATTATTATTATTATTATAAAAGAAGATTAATAATGTACATTGTATACGTGAAAGTGTTCTTGTCAAATGAAATGTTTATATAATAATGACTTCATGAATGTCTACTATAGAATAATGGGGAAAGTTTGACCTTGAAAAGCGATTAAAACAAAATGACTATGTTATTGTTTCATAAGGTACTTTACCCTTTGTATTACTACTACTACTATTACTACTACTACTAATAATTATAATAATAACAATAATAATAATAATAATAATAATAATAATAAGTAGTAGTAGTAGTAGTAGTAGTAGTAGTACAAGTGTATATTATTAAATGAGTAATATATGTATTGTAATCGGTTTGAATTTGTCTATATTGTTTTTCTTTTTTGGTTGTTTATACTTGTAAAAGATTCATGATGTGCATACATAGTTCTTTGATCATTTTCAAATAGATTAAATTACTTATATAATTTGTAAAATGAAATCTGGATAAACATTTATAAATTATATGGGTGAATTAATGAGTTAATTGAAACTAGACCATCTAGGAAACATCTGAAAGCAATGGACAGCTGTTTCATCTTAATATGAGATTCTTCTTCTATATAATGTTGATGATTATGAATACATTAGATGAAGTAATTGTATCCAGTCTTTATTTTTTCGATGATTAGTTACAGTTACATACTTATGATAAAAGCTTCTCAATTTGACTCTATTATGTAAATAAATATATGATCTAGAGATTAAGCATTCACGCGCGAGATTGATAGGTTATGGGGTTGGATCTCATGAGATGGAATCGTGAATGAGTATTGTTGAGGAGTCCCATATTAGGACGAAATGGCCATCTGATGCTTTCAGGTTTGCAATGATAGTCTAATTTAGATCGACTGATGAATTCAACTATAAAATATGAATGAACTGTATTGTTTGTTTGAACTTTCTCATTGATGTTTAGGATTGTAATTGATTAGTTTTTTATTGATATATGTACATTTAGCTGATGAGTTTCAAACGGGACGAAATGTACGTCCTGGATTCCACTGCCAGCCACTATCCATCTTTACTTGAATTTTATAGATAATAAAGTGATAAACAATAGATTTCATATGTTTATCGAAAATAGACCAATAAGTTTGTATTTAGTTTTAATCTTTACAACTAACTAAATTTGATATAATTACAAACAATTACACATGGAGAATATAAAGCTAAATTCAACCTGAAAATGGTCAACTGTAAAGTGTGTCGATGAAGCTCTAAATATTTTGGTTATTGAAGCTATATTATAAGAACGCTCTGTTGGTAACTGTTGAAATGTACAATATTTAGACGAGTTAGAAAGATAATCATGAGTATAAAACGAGTGAATAGACATCTACTTCATGATGAACAGCATATTATTAGTTATTCATTGTCCAACACCTATTCAATGTCCAGTGATCTACGGTAAACAATTTATTGTTTTAAAAGAAGTGAACCATTCATAAATAGTCTCGTTGAATAGTAATAGTGTAGTGAACAAGAACTCAGGTGAGGAAGACCAGTTTATAGTTTAATTCAACATTACAGAATGTCTTCTTAAAATATGAAAACCATACATTGAATACTTCATTTGCACATTATCCATCGATTGTCTCTTACAAAGTTTATCAATCTTTTATTCCTTCTGTTATTACGAGTAATTTCTGTTTACATTCCTGTTCTCTTTAATTGGTTCTTTTTAACCTTCTGTTGACAAACATTCGACTTTTGAGTGATGTTAAGTACTACTTATATCTGTCAATATAAGTAACATACACGACAGTAGTACTGGAGTGAACAAGAACATCAGTGGGGACAATCGAATGTATTTGAACACGAAATTACATAACAAGTAACTAAAATTTAAGAACCATACAGTAAATACATCATTTGCAAATATCAGTCCATCGTTTCAAATTTTATTATACCTACATTTTTATACCAATCGCTTTCCGTTCCTGTTCTTTCCTTTTCAGTCTTCTACTGAAATATATTTTATTCCTGACTATCCATATATACTGCTTATTTTGATATAAGTAGCTCACATCACAGTAGTACCAATAGAATGAGTACAGATGGTAAAAAAAACTTATAATCAAATTGATGGTTATTTAGTTGGAAAATTATATCACTTTATGTACTTACAAAATTATCATAACCTGTTACATAGTCAATATTCCATTGAATCATTTCGTTTATTTAGTGAACATTTAGATAATTTAAACTAATGCAATATGATATTTGTGTATTCATTCATCACTGCGAATTCACATTACTTATTTACGCCTGTTATTCTCAATGGAGTATAGGCCGCCGCCCAGCATTCTCCAACCCACTCTGTCCACCACCTTCCTTTCTATTTCTATCCAATCTTCCTCATTATTTTCATGTTTGTCTCCATTTCTCGGTGTAATGTGTTATTTGATCTTCCTCTCCTCCTTTGGCCTTCAGGATTCTATGTGAGGGCTTGTCTTGTGACGCAGTTGGGTACTTTCCTCAATGTGCGTCCTATCCACTTGCAGCACTTATTCCTAATTTCTTCTTCCACTGAGATCCGGTTTGCTCTCTCCCATAACAGATTGTTGCTGATAATGTCTGGCCAACGGATCTGAAGTATTTTACGTAGATAACTGTTAATAAACGCTTGTATCTTCTGGATGATGGCTTTGGTAATTCTCCAAGTTTCCGCCCCATACAGTAGAACTATTTTGACATTTGTATTCAAAATTCTGACCTTGATGTTGATTGACAGTTGTTATGAGTTCCAGATGTTCTTCAATTGTAAATATATTGCTCTTACTTTACCGATTCACGTTTTCACATCTGCATCAGATTCAAACAACCAGAGCAACTATTCATTTATGTACTTGAAATTCAAACTAAAATATGTATTAATGAGACAAACAGTCTATTATTTTCTTCTCAAAATTATAATCACCATAAATTTAATTCATAATTTGAGTAGTGATAACCACCAAATTAATCTAAATGAAAATCTTTAAACACTTATACTATTATTCTTGTTACTAGGTGGTTTTTCTTTCTTTTTTCTCTGTTTCTCCTTTCTCTCTTCGATCACACACGTACGCACGTACGCACACGCACACACACGTACATACATAGGTATATATTCACTAATGAATGTTTTACATGTTTGTTAGTTAAACCTCAATACAAAATTTTCACACTCAATTATTTTATCCAAAGGTAAATACAACTACATAATATACATTTTATTTATTTATTTATTTATCTGTCATGATTGTCCTTTACTCTAATTTATAGGAACAAATTATCAGTATATCCGGTCACACAGTCTGTAAAACTTTTTTTTTCAAATTTTTTTCTTTTTATTTATTTTTTTCTTTTCTTTTTTCTTTAAAAAAAAGAAAAGAAAAGAAAAACAATTCTGAATATTAAGTTAATTTCTCACGACATTTTATTAACTGTCTAATTAATAATCAACTTCAATGGAATATAAATTGAGAAATTAAAAACTTTCTCACCTAAATGTGTACAACATGTGAAAGTGTAAATTACCAAGACAATAATTATTATTATTATTATTATTATTATTATTATTATTAGTAGTAGTAGTAGTAGTAATAATAATAATAATAATAATAATAACAGTGGTAGCAGTAGTGATAGTAGTAGTATTAGTAGTAGTAATAATAGTAGTAGTCTTAATAGTAGTGATAATAGTAAGAATCGTAGTATTAGTATTACTACTATTATTACTACTTATAATAAACTATTAAAATGATTGAGAATATAGTTTTATTTAAACGTAAACTATTTTTTTTTGTTGTTGTTGTTGATTATTTCAATTCGATATAAACATTGTACTCGACAATTTTTTTTCTGAAAAAAAAAAGTTGAATTATTGTCTAGAATTATAATGAGTTACTAAGGTATTAAGAATGAGAAAACTAATCCTGGTAACTATAAATGATCGTTTTAATTTAATGAAAAGAATTTTAAAAAAAAATTGATTTAGAATAGAAAATATATACCAAATGAAATAATATTGTAATAACTAAATTAGTTAGATTCAATTCTATGTGAATTTATCAGTAGGAAAATCTGAGATATAGAAAAGAGTAACAAACTAAGATGGAAAAAGATTATTGATGTTCTATGGTTGTGTTGTTTTTTTATTTTCATGTTATAATAAACATTTTACTCATTAATTCATCTAAACAAATCATTCAAGTTACTTTTTATTGATCTAGAGAAAATGATTGGATCACAATATTCGGATCCAGGACTTGTCAGTCATGCGCGCGAACACTTAACCTCTACACCACTGATTTGGCCGACATCCAACGATGTTAATGTTTAACTTTGACTAATTCACGAAATTGAGTGACACATCCACCATTGACTTCAGTGAGTTATTATCTCACAACACATCCGGTTGAACTCTACTGGTCACTAATTTTCACTAGAACTTTAGGAAATATCTCTTGGAGACCGTCACTAGTGAGCATATGATGATTATAATCGGAGAGGGGTCTTGTGAATATTATGGTAATTTCATAGTTGAATTTATGAATCAGTTGAAGCTAAACCAACATGATGAGATCGTTGATGCACGTTGCTGAATAATGTTGAATAATGTCTCTGACTAATAAATGAATCTCCTTTGTAAAGAACCATGTGTTCCTAAATGAAATAATCTTTAGAAAAGTGATTTTTGTAAATTCCATCAGGTTACATAATTTAAGATATGTTTATATCCTTTTTTTATTTTAACTGATCAAACCCATTAAACACTGATGATTTCAGTGTATTTCCTAGGTCATAACGGAACTTCAAAGATATTCTATAGTTTCAGGGCTTAAAGTAAGGTTTCACTTGTGTATGATTTGTCTTAAGTTCAGAATCCATTGAGAATGGTAGTAGAAGTAGTAGTAGTAGTAGTAGTAGTAGTAGTAGTAGTAGTAGTAGTAGTAGTAGTAGTAGTAGTAGTAGTAGTAGTAGTAGTAGTAGTAGTAGTAGTAGTAGTAGTAGTAGTAGTAGTAGTAGTCTATAAGTCAACTAAATACTCTATATCAATTGAATATCAACCATCGAATGTACGAACAATATGTTTATCTACTTCACAGTTGCCCATTATATTATATATATTATATATATATATATATATATATATATATATATATATATATATATATATATATATATATATATATATATATATATATATATATATATTATATATTATATTATATTATACGTCTGATGTACTTTTTATCAATGTTTTCGTTTCTTGTTTTAGTCTAAAACACAAATATTAGTGTTAACAACATAAGTTCTAATGTATTTACTATGCGGTTAAAAATGAAAACAACGACCTATATTCCATGCTATTTCGGAATCATCATATTGGCAGTCAAATCCAGTATCTTTCACTTTAAACACTCAATATATTAACCATTCAGCTATTGAGTCTAGATAGTTACGAACTTATTCAATAGATATGAATTTATTTGTAACAGTTTGTAATGAAGTAAAATGACTATACGTAATCAAGTACTATATTAACTCAACTAGAATTCATTAATATAGTGTAATGAAATGTCATATGTAAAGATTATTTTATTAACGATTGGATAAACTTATATTAAAATAGATTAGTCGAAGTTAGACATTAACACCATTGGATGCCGGCCAGCTCAGTGGTCTAATGATTAAGCGCTTGGAGCGAGGCTGTTAGGTCCTAAGTTCGAATCCCGCTAGGCGGGTTTGTGGATGCGCACTGCTGAGGAATCCCACACTAGGACGAAACGGCCGTCCAGTGCTTTCAGGTTTCCCATGGTGATCTAGCTTCAATTGATTCATGATTCCAACTGTTTAGATTAGTTCTCTTTGTTTGTATTGTATTTTACTATCTGTAATAACAAGTATAAACCAGTATGAAATTCACATAAGAAACACACAATGTTAGTTCCAAACAAATATATGTACTTAGTATTAGTCATTTTAATATATACAATGATAATAAATATGAATAGAGTGATGCATTAAATTGTCAAAAATGTCAGTCAATCAGCTACAATGTAGGACCAGGTATATAAATGCATCGGTCCAAGTTGCCATACCTCATTAGTACAACAAGATGAACACTAAATTCATAGAAGTAGTTACTTCAATAGTAGTAATATATAAATGAAAGATTGTGTATAAAGAAAAATTATTTGATAGAAAGAAAGATATAAAGCACTTTTAATCTCGTAGTTTAAGGGAAGACAAAGAGTGTATACACTGACGCTAATGTGATCAATTCTGAGCCATGTCACACAAAGTCTCCAACTATTGGTTGCGATAGGCGCGTGGGCTTCAGCCAAGTAGTCTGTATCTATTAATATGGCTCAGACCAGAAGTTAGTGACTACAACGACTGACGAATGTTTGCATAATTGTAGATTTTAGGATTAAATATATTACAATTCTCTAAAAGATAGTAATCAGGTTCATCTCTAATTTGTTATCTTCATTTCTATGTTTAACTGATTCAAGATCAGCGATTTCATAATTATTTTTCATCCAGGAACTAATTTTAGAATAATCTAGTAGGAAAGTATGACTTGTGAACTAGATCAAGTCTTAAGTCAGCGACAGTGGATGATTATTGATTTACATTATCGAAGTAACTAAAATTTAAACGATTGGCTTCATAATTAAATTTTGAATTATCTGAAACTTTCAAGTTCCACACACAACCCTATTTGAAGCGGTCAGTTTCCATTACTACGAACTGCATATTAATAGTAATTGATTATTTAGTGCTTCTCAGTTTATAATTATTCAGTTGATATAAATTTATCATCTTTAAACAATAGCATAAGTGAGCTGGAGGTGTTAAATCTCAGTTTATCGACAAGTGAAATTCAGGTGGCAATAGTTAACCTATTCAGACTCTTCAGAACTATGTATTCATGACTCCTTCAGACATCGAACCCAAGACCTTCAGACCCTGCAGTAAGTATTTATTTATTTATTTAAACACATAAACATTAGTACAAGGAGATACCAAATACATATGCGCCACACAAATCATTCGATTTGTGTGAGGGCTGGGATATTGCCTGGGTGCCCAAACCGAATCATATGGTTTTCTTAGGGGGCCACACCTGAAGGTCTGATCCACAAGGCAGTGGAGCATCATAAGGAGATGCAGTCCCATGGTAGACGGGGACCAATAATTAGTTCATACGCCATTTGTCTTGGAGCCAGCCCATGTGCACCATTGGTTTGGAATCAGTGTTTTCCAACCCCCCTAGGTAAAACCTGAGTGTCCACCAAATGAGTTAAAGCACCGGAAATTGGCTTTTCGTTCTCTGAATTTCGTAAACAACAATAATGCCGCGAGAAGACAGTGAGTAGAACTTCACTTTCAGTGGCTGTATACGTGTGGTCATATGAGAGCATTTAGAGAGAAGGAATTGACTTTCCCCACTCTCGACTGTACCTGAAGTAATTACTTAATCTGAAGATAGCTGATTAGGCATTCAATTGTATACTTTTTTACATTGAGTCAATTCTCAATATTTGTCGCACATCTGATATTATCGAACTCCGTTAATCATAGCTTCTCTGTAGAATTCCGAAGATCTACACTCAAAGTTAGCCACTAATCACCATGTGATAATGTTTATCATTACTATTAGATATTGTAAATTAATTTAACACTTGTAATTCACAGTATTATTTATCTTAGATTTTACTTTACACTTAATTTGTTGTTATTATTATTAGTTGAGTATATTGTAATCTATCGATTCATATCTAAGTATAATAACGCTAATATTAATAATGGTTACTTAGTTCAGTATTATCTATTTCGTATAATGTTAGTATTCTCAATAATGTTTATGTAGGTATACAGCCCAGATATTCAAACACATTGTCATATATATATGAGGGTGTAAAAATAAACAACATTGTTAACAATAAAGATACAATCAGAATACAATGTAACTTTCACCACTTATTCAATTACTTTTTATACTTTTTTTTATAAGAATAGTAAATGTTATAAGCAAAAGAAAAGAGACACTGTAAACAAACTGAACATGATAAACTTTTAAAAGAAACAAGTATTTACATATCCTGTTCAATTACATAGCTAAACAAGTCCAATAAATTTAAAGATATATGACAATACATTAACATCGTTTGATGCCGACTCAGTGATCTAGAGGTTAAGCATTTACGCGCTCTCTGAGTTCGAATCCCGCAAGCAAGATCGTGGATGCGCATTGCTGAGGAGTCCCATAATAGGACGAAACGGCCGTTCATTGCTTCAAGGTTTTGAATGATGATCTAACATCAATGAGTTCATGATCTCAATCAAAAACTTAATAATCTCCACAACCCCTATACTGATAAATACATTTATATCTTAAACATGTTCGATCATACTCCATTATATTGTCAAACCGATCAGACTTAATATACTTAATTTAAAATTTTAGCATGAAAATCAGTTAAATATTCTCTAGGATTGATAAGTCTTGTTAATTCGAACGCTTTATTCGGCTCCTAAGCTATTCTGGTAACCCGCAAGCTAGAATTACGCAGCGACCTGAACTCGAGAGAAAAGGCGGAAAATAAGCGAAAAGCACTTTAAAGGTTCATTTTTGTACATTTATAGATATTAACATTTGTTATATCAACATCATATTTTGTCCAATCCGCTAAAAGACATATTATGCTACTGATCAATAATAGCACGCCACGTTGATATTCTAAAAAGCTCCATCATGCTCTGATTGGCTAAAACTCTTAGCATCTTTTAGAACCTCTGGAGGCTCCGTTGCAGTTCTTGGAAAGCCGACTCAACAAGGATACGATTCGAACCTGTAACCTAATTGTTAGTATTACAAATTATATTCAAATTATTGATTCCTTTATCCACAATGAACTAATACACACAAGATTTATCAAAGAATCCTTGAACTCAATTATGGATTTTCAAAAAAAAGGAAAAGAATTTAATAGATTTGTTTACATTTTTTTAAATTCCCGATTCTGAAAACCCTTCGAAACTTACCTTTCTTCATCTTACATGTGTCTTAATAATCTGAATATAAAAATATTGTTGTTTATCATATTGAATTATCCGGATTTTAGATCTACAATAAAATTATATGATTAAATTTTTTATTGAATAATTGAATTCGTAAGTCGATTAAAACTAGATAACTATGGAAAATCTGGAAGAATAAGACAGCTACTTCACCCTAGTATGGGACTCCTTGGAAATCTGTATCCATCATCCTACCTCACGAGATTCGAACCCAAAACATATCAATCTCGCACGCGAATGCTTATCCTCTAGACCATTGAGCAGGCCAACATCCAACGACGTTAATGTCTAACTTCAACTGTAAGATCCAAACTAAGGTTTGGACTGAAGAATAGCTGTCTAGGTGAGTTAGATGCACGCCCTTGCCCGTTTGAAACCAAAACAAAGTAATTGGGTAAAATGACGCTTGGATACAAGATACGCCATAACATAAGCTATTTTAGCAGCCATCATAATTAAACATTGCATATCTAGTGCATGACCTTCAGAAGATCGTAAGTAGTTTAGTAAAGAACCTTTGGACATATATTCTGTAACTATATAGAAAGGTTTTGTTTGTGTTGAAACAGCGTACAATTGTATCAGATTAGGATGATGTAAGCGTTTCATTGTTTGAGCTTCACGAAAAAAAATCAGCAGCATCACAAGATTTTGGCTTAAGCGTTTTCACAGCAACAATTGTTATTTTATTCTATACAGCTTTAAATACTTCACTGAACTAACCTTGTCCAATTTTTTCTTTCAAAATAATTGGAACTTCCCATTTATCAATAAGTTTGTGTGAAAGACCCACAGTTTCTGGATGAGTTGGTCGAATACATGGTTTTCCTAATCGACAACATAAACTAGATTGATTCTCTAAATAATGATTGACTAGATGTTGAATATTAACAAAAGGCAGTCGTCTTGAAATGTAGAAACGTTTTAATGTAGGGTCAGTTCGTGAATATTTTGGTTGAATACGATAATGCTTAGCAGTATTCTCTTCTCGTACTGATAAAGAATATTCACTGGATTGAGATTCACTGATTCGAACCAAAAAAGAGCCATGATCATTTCCCGGAAGTTGAAGATAATGTTCAGTTTCAATACGTTTCAATTCTCTAAAATACCATTCATTGAATTATAGACTGGTAAAAGCTGCTAAATGATTTTTGGGTACATTATCCTCAACTACCCGTAGATACACATTCCGCATACCACTAATCACAGTGTGAATTATCGAGTATACTAAATATTTGTCCTTTGGTCATATTCAAATCATCATCTACACGTTTAATGTAATCATGCAAAGAGACGAATTGCCTTTCTTTAGATATCAGGAGTGAAGTATGTGATGGATTATTTCGTATCTGTGCAGCTGAATTGTTTAAGAAGTTGGCAGGCTGTTGAATTGGTGAAAAGTTTGTTGGCTGATGAATGTTAGGTAGACATAATGAATTTCCAACAGATGATATATCACCAGCAGTTACTGGAACACCCACAAAATCACTTGTCCACTTCGCTCCCTTGATTTACTGAACTGCGTCGGGAAAATAATAAGTATTATAGGGTTGGTAGCGTATCTGATCAAAGCTTTGTGAAGAATCCGGTACTATCGCTGCTGGAAGCATAAAATTGTATGATTGACCATTATTGAATGAAATTCTAGAAGGGAAAATAGATCGTCTTTCGACTACAGACCGAAATGATAGTTTAAACATAGGCGTAGAAGCGTCATTACGAGTAACCGTGATTCAATTGTTTTGATCATTATTAGACGAATTCGAATTTCCCATAACTATCCACTACCATTAAAGAACAAAGGGTAAGCTTCAATGATTATAATAGACATGCTTAGTCCAGCGCGTGAACACATCCACCATTGTCATCAATGAGTTACTATCTCACAATAGACCCAGTTGAACTCACTAGAACTTCAGGAAATATCTCTTAAATCCAGTCACTAGTGAACATAAGTTGATTAATATCAGAAGGATTTTTTGTAAATATTATAGCAATTTCAATAGTTAAGATTATAAGTCAATTAAAGCTAGATCACTATGAAAAACTTGGAAGCACTGGATGACTGTTTCGTCCCATTGTAAGACTCTTCAGCAGCACGAATTATTATTATTTATTTAATCATTAATTAGAAAAATTATTTTCCAATATATATATGTCATTTCTATTATCTATTCAATATTTTAATTAATTGATAAATGTCAATTATAAAAATTGTTTGTTTATTTTTGTTTTTCTCTTTTAAATAAATGAAAGAAGAAACAATTTTATTATATAATATAAATTTTTTTTTTAAATAATTTATTTATTTATTATTTAATAATTAATAAATCACCATTGAATATAATGAAAATGAAATATCATTATTATTTTCATAATTTTGTTTTAATCGGTCAATTTCAATGTTCAATGTTTTATGAAATGAAATTTGAATGTTCACACAAATAAGAAACAAACAAACAAACAAACAAAGAGGATGAAACTAGTTAGTTATGAATTTATTTATTATTTTAATGGTGATTTATTATTACTCGTTTAATGCTTACTGTTTTTTTAAAAAAAAGAAAACTTGTAAACATCTTCAAAGATTATGACATAGATTCCTTTTTTTATTTTACACAAAGATCTTTATGAATTAAATTAAATAACTAACAAATTAATTATTTTTTTTTGTTTTGAATAAACAATTTAGACAGTTAGTTATCTACTTCTCTTCTTTTTTTTGTAATTTCAGTTATTCCTTGTGAATTGTTTTGTTTATTTCTTTCTTTGTTTTTTTTTTTAATGTTTGGTTTTGGCTCCTAATAAGAATTTGTCTATTAAACTTGTAAACATATTCATGACTATCTCATGTTGTTGTTTATTTTGTTCCTCTCCCTCTCTCTCTCTCTCGCTCTTGTTCTCCCTCCCTATTTTTCATGGTCTTGTTTACTGTTCATTTCAATATTATAGAAAATGACCATTATAAGTATAGATTTCAGATGTGCAGATGTTAAATAAATTAACAGCTGATTAAATACTATGTATATATATATATATATATATATATATATATATATATATATATATATATAGCAAGAGAGAGAGAGAGATTAATAAACCATACATAACAATAACCACAATGTTTCTATTAGTGCTACTACTGATGATGGTGATGATAATGATGATGGTAAATAATTCATTTTAACAAATATATTGAAAAATAATGAATATTGAACTATTGAATTAGATGAATTTTCAATGTTCAAGAGATTTTGTTTTTCTATTATTATCATTTTTTTTGGTAATTTTAATGAAAAGATATAAGTATCACTTTTTAATAATAAATTGAACCAAAATAAACAAGAGTTAAATTTATTTGGTATTTTTTTTTAAACTTGTAACTTTTCCCATTGTTATTTAAGATTGTAATTGATCAGTCTGATGTTGGCATATGTGCATCCTGTGCGGATTGTTTTGATATAGCTTTATATGCAAAAATGGATAGTGGCTAATAGTGGAATCCAGTTTAATGCGCGCTTCGTCCCATTTGAAACTCGTCAACTGCATGTACTTAAATCCAAAATTTGATGTTCGCTCTGAGACTCGAACCAAGTATCGTTCACTTCAAACTCCATCGCATTCTCCATTTAGCTATTGAGTCCTGATAGCCATTTGCTTTTGCAACAGGGTGAAGTTTAAATTCACTTGGTATTGTTTTAACTTGTAACTTTTCCCATTGTTATTTAGGATTGCAATTGATCAGTTTCACGTTGACATATGTGCATCCTGTGAGGATTGCTTTGATATAGCTTTAATTCATAAACTTTTTATGCAAAAATTGATAGTAGCTAGCAGTGGTATCCAGGATTCGCGTTTCGTCCTATTTAAAACTCGTCAGCTGGATGTACCTGCATCTCAGAGTTAATATTCACTCTTGGACTTGAACCCAGTACTGGTCGCTTTAAACACCATCACGTTATCCACTTAGCTACCGAGTCCTAATAGCCACCTTCTTGTGCAATGGAGTGAAGTTGAAATTCATTTGATTTTATTTTTACTTGTTCATGTTACACTGAATGAAGGTTAATGATATTGATGAATTAAAGTTAAACTGTATATGAGTTTCATTTTTCACTTTTTATACTTATATTATTACTATTGTTATGAACAAGAACATCAAATGGGGAACAATCAAATGTGTTATAATATAACATTACAAAATATCTTGATAAAAAAAATTGAGAATCATACAATAAATACTTCATTTGCCAAATAATAATCAATTGTCTCAAACTTGATTGTTCCTTTGTTTCCATACTAATCACTTTCTGTTCTCAATCTCTTCGATTGTCTTGATATTCTGTCTTCAAGCATCGTATTTTCGATTAGTGATCCATACTACTCATATCTGTCGACATCAGTAGCATACACCGCAGTATCATATATTTCTATCATAAATAATGATTAATGAATATTATTCGTTGTGTTATAGATTAGGAATGATGCTTAGATTCTTTATGAAAATATAAGAATAGAGATGCAGTTTCAACATTGATAAACTAAAATTTTCATTTTCAATCTAAATTTGGGAGTAGACTGTGAAATTATGAATTAGTATAAAACCTGTTTTATATTTTTGTATAAATTAATTCGTAAAGGGAATAAACAAAATAAAATATGCATTTTGAAAGCTACATTCCATCAGTGAAACTATTCAGGAAAACTCTTGAATGAGTCGATATAGAAAATATAATTTAATGGTTTTCTACATCAATGGTACCATTGAAACCTAGTGGTTTTAAAATTACTTTAATTTAAGTTTTGGAATGTGAGATAGAGAGCTTTTTATTTCACCGGCAATATCGAAATATACTAGAGTTTTCTCATCATTTGATATTATCTACTGTTAACAATTTAATTTTGAAAGACATTATAACAGATACTATAGTGTATTCTACTTATATTGACAGATATAAGTAGTATGTGATACCAATCCGAAGTGGAATACCCGTCAAGAAGGATTGACAAGACTAAATTGAAAAGAAAACAGAATTGAATGAATCATGATTTATGTAAAGAACAACTTAAGGGAGATATACAAATGAAGTAATTAATATATGTTTTCCATAATTTCAAACTGAATAGTAAATTGATCTGTCCTACCTGAATGTTTATTCACTACAATACTACTGATAAAAATAAATAGTTTATTATTAGTCTTACCAATTTTTGACACTTTTTAAACATAGGTAAACAATTCAAACAATGAATGAGCATGATTTCAAAAGTAGTCTATTCAGTAGTATACTTAAATCAACTAAATTTTTCTGGAATCCATTATACACATCGAATAAACATTGTAGTGAACACGAGTGCAGACAATCGACTGTATTTGAACATGAAATTACAAAATATCTCATTAAAACCTGCAAACAATACAATTTGTAAAATATCAATCCATCATGTCAAACTTGACTGTTCCTTTTGCAAATATAATTTCATTGTCTCAAATTTCATTGCTCCTGCATTTTTATACCGATTGCATTCTGTTCCCATTCTTTCTTTCTCGATTTTCTACTGAAATACATTCTATGCCTGACCACTGTTATATACTACTTATGTGGATATAAGTAACTCACACTACAACATGAGTTCATCATTATGAATTATGAATTTTTTTTAAGATACTATACTTACAGTAAAACTTTAATATTTATCATTCTATATAATAGAACAAACCTATTTACACATTATTGAATACTTCTAAATCAATTGATATCATTATATCATCTAGAATAAAGTCATATATTTTCACAATATCTAATTTCTAAATGAAACTTGTATATTGAAGTAATCAGATTATGTAATTTATTGTATCCAATTGTACTTTGTTTTGTTTTTTTTGGCTTTTGTTTTGAATTTATTACATTTTTGACATAAATTTCCTTCTTATTCTCATGATCTGTTCCTTATCATATCAAATATTTGTAGAATATATGTATATCTATTCTATACATATTCATTTCTTCTTCTTCTTCTTGTTCTTCATGTCTATACTACTAATTGACATTATCAGTGTATGGAAATAAACAACAACAAAAAACAACAGCTTAGAATAACTGGTCAAAAAAGAAAATAAATTCAATTCAGTAGATTAACTACGATTGGTAACTATTGATCTGTTAACATGTAACTTACTCTATACTGACCACTATGTCTATAGATAGGTATGTAAGAGTTCATTTCATTTCCTTTTTTGTAATCTTCTTGTGTTTTTTTTTAGAATTAACTTCTATTAATCTCTCTGTTTCTATGTTATTATCACATTTGTCACATGTACAATAATATACATTTCCTCATTTTTCATTATTCGGTTAATATTGACTATTTATCTTAGATACTTAATAATTTAATACATACACACATATATACATAGATCCATAGAATAGATACATATACATTAATAATAATACTATATCACATAATTATAAATGTTAAAAATCATATCCGGTCCTTGTCATCACACACACACACACTAAGTCGACAATCTTCTCATTCTGATTCAAAGTTCGTATAGATAATTAAAATGAATAGAGATTATAGTCATAATAATAATCATTTTAGTTATTACAAAGTAAACTAACACTCATATTAAAACTCATTTTGATATGATATCCATTATAATAATACTAATTACACCAGTAATAGTAATAATAATAATAATACTCTTAACAATAGTCATTGTAAACATCACACTGATAATAATCATAATTATGGCAGTTATCAAGTTTTATAGAAACATGATAATAGATAATATTTTTGGCGTTAATCAAATCAAATAAGAGAGAGAGAAAAAAAACTTGTCAAATCAATGATCAATTAAATATTATCTTATAATATAACTCTATCATTCACTATGTATATATAGCCATATACAAATGGGGGTGGGGGGGAGTATGGATAATCATAGGATACAATAATCATTCCCAATTGAGGGGAAAAAAAAGGCAACAACAACAACAATAACAACAACGACAACAACAAAAAAAGAGTTAGAAATGAGATAAGTTAACATGAATGATTATAAGAGGTAGATTTGATTAACTTCCGTTGGATTTTATTTAATTGTAAAATTTTTGAATAAATTATTAGTTTAATAATGTGGTATTTATCATCAAATTATCCTAATATAAAGACAAGTTATTTATTCCTATCTACGTATATATACTTACATATTAAACATTGTAATTAGAAACATTAAACTTTATAATGGTACTTTCTGTTAATCAAATGAAATGGTGTCTCATAATTCCATATCATAAAATGTGAACTATTTAATAAAACCCGGTAACAAATTATGTACATTTTTTGATTGTGTATTGGAAGTAAAAAAAAACAACCTCACTATGGTAACTAATAGTTGAGTAATGAAAAAAGAAAGGGGATCCTTCCATTTTTATGGAATTTTTTAAAAATTTTTTTAGCTGGATGGTTTTGGTCATGGAGCTTTCATTATTCTTCTTTTCACTACTTTAGGATACTTTCATTTAAGTATCTATCATAATTATCCAGTTGAATAGTAATCTTTTTTTTAAAAAAAAGAAACTTTATGAATGTTATCTTAATGATGTAAGATTTAAGAAGAAAAACTAATGAAGTAATCAAATAGAGTTATATTATGTATTATCAAATAATTAGATCATGAATATAATTTTGTAGTGTTTAACTGTTTGTGATGGATAATGGAATGTTTCACAGATTGAAATCATTAGTCAATTGAAGCTAGACCACCATGGTAAATCTGGAAGCACTGGACGGCCGTTTCGTCCTAGTATGGGACTCCTAAGCATGATTTCAATTTGTGAAATTTCTAAAAATCACCACAAACCACTTCTGATAATAATCATGTGATCACTAGTGACTGACTTTAAGAGATACTCCTGGAGTTCGAGTGAGAAGCCGTTACCAGTGGACTTCAACCAGGTCTGTCGTGAGATATGAGCTCATTGAAGACAATGGTCTACGGTGGCGCAACTTTGTGGATTGGTTGAAGTTAGACATTAACACCGTTGGATGCCGGCCAGCTCAATAGTCTAGTCGGTTAAGCGCTTGGCGTGAGACTGATAGGTCATGGGTTCGAATTTCGCGGGGAGGGATCGTGGATGCTCACTGCTGAGGGGTCCCATACCAGGACGAAACGGCCGTCCAGTGCTTCCAGGTTTCCCATGGTCGTCTAGCTTCAAATGACTTATGATTTCAATCTGTGAATTTTCTAAAATCTCCGCAAACCCCTTCTGATAATGGAATCTTTATCATAATTTGATTGCACATTTGAAATTAGAACAAATGGAGGATTCTTCTAACAAGCAGATTTATGTCATTGGGTCGATAGTTGTATGGAATATTGATTCAGTACGTACTTACTTATGCCTGTTACCCCTTGTTGAGGAGCATAGTCTGTTCACCAGTATTCTCCATCCAACTCTGCCCTAGGAATTACTTACTTACTTGCGCCTGTTACTCCTCCTAATGGAGCATAGGCCGCCGACCAGCATTCTCCAACCCACTCTGTCCTGAGCCTTCTTTTCTAGTTCCATCCAATTCTTGTTCATCTTATTCATGTCTATTTCCATTTCCCGGCGTAATGTGTTCTTTGGTCTTCTTCTACTCCTTTGGCCCTGAGGATTCCATGTGAGGGCTTGTCTTGTGACGCAGTTCAGTGCTTTCCTTAATGTGTGTCCTATCCACTTCCAGCGGTTCTTCCTAATTTCTTCCTCTGCTGGGATCTGGTTTGTTCTCTCCCACAGTACGTTGTTGCTAATAGTGTCCGGCCAACGGATCCGAAATATTTTGCGTGGACAACTGTTAATAAACACCCTTATTTTCTGGATGATGGCTTTCGTAGTTCTCCAGGTTTCTGCCTATATAGTAGAACTGTCTTGACATTTGTATTGAAAATCCTGACCTTGGTGTTGGTTGACAGTTGCTTTGAGTTCCAGATGTTCCTCAGTTGTAAATATGCTGCTCTCGCTTTGCCGATCCGCGCCTTCACATCTGCATCAGATCCACCCTGTTCATCAATGATGCTGCCCAAATACGTAAAGGTTTTTACATCTTCCAAATCTTCTCCGTCAATTGTGATTGGATTGTTGCATGTTGTGTTGTATCGGAGAATCCTGCTTTTCCCTTTGTGTATATTGAGACCTATTACTGCTGAGGCTGCTGCTACACTGGTCGTCTTCTCCTGCATTTGTTGTTGCGTTTGGGATAGAAGGGCCAGATCATCTGCGAAGTCTAGATCGTCCAACTGCATCCTAGATGTCCATTGTATCCCGTATTTCCCTTCAGAAGTTGAAGTCTTCATGATCCAGTCGATCACCAGGAGAAGGAGAAAGGGTGTGAGTAAGCAACTTTGCCTGGCCCTAGGAATTACTTTCCATTTATTTCCATTTGATATTCATCTTTTTGATGTCTACTTCTAATTCACGATGTGGTGTGTTCTTTGGTTTTCCTCTTTTCCATTTCTCTTCAGGATTCCAAGTTAGCTCTTGTTTCGTGATCCGGTGTCTCTTCCTCATTTCTTCTTCAGCTGGTTTGTTCCCTGACACTGTAGGCTATTACTGATGGTATCCGGTCAACGAACATTGATTATCTTGCGTAGATAATTGTTGATAAATGATTGCAAATTTTTAATGATGTTTGTAGTAGTTCTTCAAGATTCAGCTCTGTACGATTGAACTATCTTGATGTTCATATTGAATATTCTGACTTTGATATTGGTTGAAAGTTGTTTTGAGTTTCATATGTTTTTCAATTGTAGGGATGAGGCCCTTGCTTTACTAATCTTCTTCAATTCTGGACACCTCTAAACTAAGAAAAAGACATAAGAGATCGGAATATTAAGACAGCTTTTATGGTTAAGTTGTTCCAGTCATAGGTTTAGCCCAGTTGAGGTAACAGTGATAATCATGACAGCGCGCTATCATAATCACTTATTTAAAGGTGAGTTTCTGAAATCCAAATTAGTTGTGACTGGTGGAGTTTGAACATGTCCGGAATGAAGATGAAAATATAACTGTATAACAGATCGGCTGAAGCTGGACTTTTACCATTTTACGCTGATCAAGTGTCTCTAGTAATAAAGCAATCCACCTGTAATCTGAAAGGTCTTGTGTTCAATACTTTACCGGGTCTGAGATACGAATTGCTGAGAAGTCTCACATAAAGAGAAAATAGTTATTCAGTGATTCCTTGTTTTCAGTCACAACCTGTTGATATTAACCTTTAACGAATCCAGCCCACAAAATCAACCAAATCTCCAAAAAATCCACCTTCAACCAGAGCTTTTATGTTTCAAGAAAAAACCTTTACATAAACAAAGATCACAACATACAGATTATTATCCGATTGAAGGCAACTAACAACTAAAAACGAATCTATCAGTCTATTTTCTTAAGCTAATGATAATAACAACTCCTCCTGGAGCCTCTCTGCGACTACTGCTGGTCCCAGAGCCCGAATAAAGGAGGAGGGTTGAGCATGGGGTTAGCGACTCCATCCCGTAGAAAACTAACTCACTAAAAAAACGCTAACCACAAAAAATTGTTCAAACCATTTAAACTCTGCCCTTGGAGTTAGAAGGTGTTCATTTAGAAGAGTTATGACGCCTCATGCTGAAAGCCAAGTTCCTTCGAAAGTCACAAGACTGATGCTCCTTCTG